ATATATATATATAAATGAAAAAAATATATACCGGTAATGCCCCTGAGCACAAAGGTTTACCCATCCCTGATCTAAAGGATAAGAATCATATGGGCGTTTTGCTTTCAATTTATTTTTTTTAATCACAAAAGGGCGCCAATTATGACATAAGAACATGTGATCCGAACCATCGAATTTTCCTTTTTTTGAGGCCGATGCCAATGTTTCTCAGAGAAAGAAGAATACAAAAAACAACAAAAATTAATAAAAAAAATATAATGACCCTGTGCACAAAAGTTTACACATCCCTGATCTCAAGAATAAGCTCCATGTGGGCGTTTTGCTTTAATTTTGTTTTTTTAATCACAAAAGGGCACCAATTATAACATAAATACATGTGATCCTAACCACACAGCTTTTTGTGGCATGAAACAGTCTGACTGTTCAGTACAATATGAACAATAAAATGATCAAAGTAACAACTCGGTCAACGCCAAACTATTTCCAGTGCACTTACAACATCCAAATTGCCTTTGATCTCCTCGATTCGACCAGCGAAGAACAAGAAGATCGATCCCTATGAGAAAAACAACCCACATCTGTTAGCCTTGTGACACACACGAGACAACACATCAAGAGTGGAAAAGCACAAACAGCTCGCACACCTTAGGGTATTTCTTGAGATACGGCTGCAGCAGTTTTTCTGCATCTTCTACGTCTCCTTCTCCAGTGCCTGCAGGACACACAAAGTGTGCAATGCCCAAAATATGGAAAAAATGATTTTGTGTGCAGTGTATCCGCAAGTGTGTATTTGTGTGTGTTTACTTGCCTAGTATAAAGCTCATGAAGGTATGATAACAGAGCAGCAACATGTTGCATAAGAATGAACGGAATGTGCTTTCTGCACAGCCGTCCTGAAGCTGCTGGAGACCAAACTCCTGCATACAATTGCACAAAAATGTCGAGCACAATTACTTGAGGATTGTTTTATGGACAGTATCCAAGTGTCTATCCATCAGAGCACTGATTTACAGTTATTAATAAGAATCAGAATAATAATCTGACATTTTTATTTCAAAATGCTAAAGGACATCTTACAAAAGTGGGTAAAAGTACAAAAAAATCAAGTACAAAAGTGAAATAAAATAAAATAACGATAAATACGCGTTCAAACAAATAAATCAGTCCAAGATGGATATTAAGACTGTGTGATTACAAAGTGTGGGGGAGAGATGTTCATAGGGTGGGCACTGGGCAAATGTCATTGGGGATTGGGGAAACATTAACAATCAATGAAATTAAGATTTTAAATCAAGTATGTTTTGCCACATATTCTTATTTTCAAGAATCATTGTTTTTACAACAATTTCACAGTGTTTAAACACTAAATGAAAACTGCCTTTACAGCAGCTCTTATATTTTGCTCTACTTCTTCCTTTCATAACTTTGCTGCTGTGAATTGGGAATTTCTCCATTGTGAGACTAATAAAGTTTTTCTTATCTTATCTTAAAGGCTTTCCTTTGAAGTGCAAATTAGTTGAGACTGAATGAACACGGCCTCTTGGATGCGAAGGGTGGAAATGACAGTTACGTGATGGATGTTCATTCAAAATATCGGCCGTGGCAATTATTCATTTACCTGACAGTCTTTTGCCCTTCTTCCAAAAGATTCTGGTAAACCTCTAGTTGAATTTGGACATTCTACTCAACCAGAAAGTCGGAACATAGAAGATAGGTATGTCTTGGGAATAATTATTAATGATATTTTTGGACAACTAACTTTTAGTCAAAGCTAAAAAGAAATATAAAAATACCAAATATTAAAAACACACACTGCTTTAGCCGCTTTCACGTGTCATTTCATGCTAGCTTGGTATTTGAAGTCGTATGCCTCAAAACTCCTACTTCAGACATTTGTGCGTCTTGAAATCTTTTGACGCGCGCGGGGGGAACCCACCTTGTTACCCGAGAAACCCACAAACTCCAGCAGCTTCAGCATCCGTGTGGGCAACATGGAAATCATCTGCGGGAGGAAGAGAAGCAAAGGAACCAAAGAGCTCAGATTGATGCTGTGCCAGCAGGTTTATACTGACAATTTTCACATCAAAGTGTACATGTGTACTTAGCGTTTGTCCATTTGGGATGTATTTGAAACATTTTTAACCCTCTCACCAAATTAAAGGCTCCGACTCCCAACTTGACTCCGCCCTCAACATGACCATGATTGCTGCCGTGACTGTACGCAGTCGACTCCAGCAGTCTGTGGAGCTCTCTGCGGTTAAGATGAGACACGAAAGGACATCAGCGAAGTACACGACATTTTGACAGAGTGACGAGGACGATTCAGACACTCACTTGTACGTCTGATAGCTATTCCTCACTTTGATTCCTCCTTTGATGAAACTGATCATATTTTCATCCTGAGGAGGGGTGGTTGAAGGATGACACAATAAATATTCCCATTAGCGATTCCAAACAAGCGGAGGCCTCTTGACTAACCTGAAGGAAGGTGAGCGCTGCCCTCTGCAGGAGGCATTCAGCATAGCAGACTTCAGCATGAATCTCATCTGTGGCCAAAGTGTGATTTTTTTTGCTCTGGTCAGTGATTGCAGTACTCTTTCTATTTTTCTTCTCTCTTGCTTTCCCTCTTTGTCCTTCTCTCTCTCTCTCTTACACACACAGACACCCACCCACGTACACGTACGCACCTTCTGTAAAGCCCTTAGATAAGCTTGACTTCTTGCGGTGCCTGATGAGGAAAGCAAACATACAGTGATCAGTTTTCTGCCCCTGCCCATCTGTCCATATTTATTTCCTTATTACTGTATTAAACCAGCCTCTTTTATTACACTTCTGATGGGATGTCAGTTTGATGCGTGATGGGTGCGGCTTTTTTTCTAACAGTGTCTTTCTCGTGTCAGCCAATTGTGAGATTCTTAATAATTTATGTCGAGATTATGTCAGCATTGCAACGTACGATCAGCAGATGGTGCTAAAGAAAGACTTCCGATTCCAAATACAGTAGGGATGTCTTCTATATACACAAAGTATGAACAACCCCCTGAATGGATTCTTTTTAAGGCTTCAAATGTACGAGCAATCCTGTTGTTGCTTCAGCGTTTTTTTTTTTTCCATTTCACCTACCATGGTGCAGAGGCTACTGTTGTCGCCTTAACAGGGACATATTATGGAAGATTGACTTTTTAATTGCTTTTTATACAAATAGTTGAATGTCTGCCCACCCACCCATCAAATGTGAAATGAACAACCAATCTTTTGTTATGAGCTGTTTTCTGAAAATGCTGCAAACCATGAACTCCTATGTGGGTACTACCAGTGTTGTGTGGACTCATTCGAGTAAACCACAAAAGAATCTAGAAAGAAGAAACAAACCTGAGTAGGCAACAGTTCAGTTGTATTCCATTTCAGTACAATATGTTTGCATTTCATTTTTTACAAATGCTTTTATGTGAAACATGTAATTAATATTTATAGAATTTTTAATTGAACTTTTATTTAGGTCTTTTTTTCCCCCCAATATTTAAACTCTTCAGCATTTTACACTAGCTGACAATATCAGATACAGTATATAATCTTTACCTCATTTTTTTATGAACACTAGCCTATTACGCTCAAGTATTTGAATGTTGGTGATGATGGTGCTCCTTGGAGAGCTGCTTTAAGGATTTGTTTAAGGTGGTACTTGGTGTAAAAAGTTTGAAAATCACGGTATGACACTAACTGACTAAATGTAATTCATCAAGTGAAGTCCTGCCTTCATAAGTGAAAATACAATAAAAACTTGATTTAATTTGACCGTGTTGGCTTCATACAGGCGGCCCGGTGGTCGACTGGTTAGTGTGTCGGCATTTGAGTGCAGAGGTGCAGGGTTCAATTCTGGCTCCTGCCTTTTAATGGAACACTTTAAATTGTCCCTCGGTGTGAGTGTGAGTGCTGATGGTTGTGTGTCTCTGTGTGCCCTGCGATTGGCTGGCAACCAGTTCATGGTCTACCCCGCCTGCTGCCCAAGGACAGCTGCAATAGGTTCCAGCACATCCCGCAACCCTTGTGAGGATAAGCGGATCGCAAAACGGATGGATGGTTTCATGCAAGCAGTTTTGATATGTCAGGGTGAACATTTCCTGCTCTGGACGGCGTCAAGTCTCCAAAAAATCTCCAATAAGGCCACAAGAAGTCACTTGTTATTTGTCAGACAAATTCAGTTGAATTGGAATTTGTTTTAAACTGTGAAAAATGCAATAGTCTCCTTTAGTCTAAAATGTTTAATTTTCCAGTGACATGATAACCACATTATTTTACTTGTGACTATGGCATAGCTGTTTTGGTAAAACAAACACATATTGTACAATAAATGCCAACATGAAGTTTTTGGCAACTGACGTTCATCATGTCAACACAATATCTCTCACCGCTGGCAAATAGCCTGGGCCTCTTTCATGGTGTTTCCTGCTTCCAGGATATGTTGGGGTTCAAAGGTCATCATGGCCTGCATTTCTAGGAAGGTGGCGTAGGTCAGGGCATGATACATGCTGTCTTTGATTCTGTGAAAGTAAAATAAAAGTTAAGTGACTAGCCAGGGGGAACACAACATACATATGGTTCTAAGAGTTTGAGATGGAGGAAGATTAAGTGAATATTCAAGTCTGATATGTGGGCATGTGTGAGATTGGTTAACACCAAACTCCCAACACACACACACACACACACACACACACACACACACACACACACACACACACACACACACACACACACACACACACAAAAACCCCCATCTATTTATGCCTGTGCCTGCTGGCCTGTCATGTCACACCCATGAAATAAAAACTTTGCCCACACAAGCTGAAGAGTGCTTGATGTCATCGTAGTTCTACTTGTTGTTCCAGTTGTAAACCATTACCAAATGATGATTAAAGAGAAAAGAATTCAATCCAAAAAAGGGGGGGTGTGAAAAAGCAACCTAAATATAATGTTATGCTAGGTAGACACAAAATAAATTGCAGACAAACACAACTGTTGAGCTACAGAAATTTGTACATTGTTGTTCTCACCGCCCCTCCCCCGCAAAAAAAAAATTCTTGCATCGACATGTTTTTGACGGCATCAGGCATCCTCAAGACAAAAGTCTGTTGAAGAAAATATCTTCATGCCTAGGACTATATCTCGGTGTCATATTTTTTTGTCCTCACCAAAGTAAGTAAGTTCAAATCCACTGCCATTATTTTTTTTTCATGCCTAAACACTTGAGAAGAAAAATCCTGATGTAAGTTTTTATTATCTGTGCCTAAAAGGGTCAAATGCATGATGTTAAGGAACTCTGAAATAGCTCTTACTGAGCTGTACCTTCTTATCTAAAGCATCGCCTGACCAGGAAGCACTAATGTGACACTCGCAGGAGGCAGAGGAATTAAGGGGCTGACAAGAAAGCTTTTAGGAGCGAGCTGTAGGACGAGTTGCTTTGCTGGTGAGAAAGAGGGAGAATTCCAAATATTTCACAGCAGCGCTTCAAAGGTTTTCAAGGCTGAGTGACGCTTTACACGAGATGCTGCGATTGTGTCGGCCTTGTATAGTAACTGCGGCTGCATCGTACAAGTTGTACAGCTTTGCTCGTCTTGGTAACAATATAGGCGTGCAGCCACTTGCAGCTGAACTTCCTAAACACAATGAAATGGTCAATTAAAGGCTAAGCAAGCGATTTGAAGGACAATATTGTCACAACAAACAACACAAAGTGGGCGCACCGAAATTCTGTGTGTCAATTAAAGCTGCATAGCTGCTTTGTCCCTCCTCAGAGTCCTTCACTGACTGTAACGCAGACGGTGCAAAAAGCGGTGATCTCATCGACACATATAATGTAACGATAGTACATAATAGGGCTCAGATTCCTTTCAAGGGATTACAAACTCTACGATGCATCTTTGCTGCTGCCATGGTGCATTAAGAAGACAGAATACAATAATTCATTCAGTCCTGACTTTGCCTTGAAAGTGATAAAAGATGACGATTTAAGTTGATTACATCACTCAGAACATTTAGACTGGTCCCATACCAACAACACAGCAAACTCATTAAATACGTCAGTTCAGTCATGAAAATGTTCTTGAGTCCAACCAGTGCTAAGATGTAGACAATGGGCTAATGGGAGCATCTGGGGTGGATAAAGGTGAGACCTTCGTGAGGGTTTTGATGGCCGAGGAGAGAACAGTCTAGTAACTTGATGACATGGTGTTGGTTACCAGATCTGGATGACAACAGGTGTTCGTGAATACAGCGCCAAGCAGCACGTCATACATGTCATATCTATGTCAATGTATGGCTACATTACGTCTTCAACATCCAACGATTAGGGAAATCGGAATGGCAGTACAGAGGACCTAAAATACAGGACACTGATAAAATAACGATAATTTATTGAAAATAGCATTCAAAAGAAATTCAACATTCGCATCTCCTGCAAGAGCATTAATATGTAAGTGGGATTTAAGATTTAAGAGTTCTGACACTGAAAGTCATCATAATGATGAGGATACAGTTTTATTTCTAATTTTGAACCATATAATATTCTAAAAATGTACAATTCCAGAAAATGCAATAAAAATGTTTTGATAAATCATTAAGCATTTTTGGGTTTAATTTGTTTTGAACAATGATTCACGAATCGCCTGTATTATGATGGTCACAGTTTGACCCTGGAACAGATTAATTTAATTTGTATTATTTTCTTTGGGGGGGATTTTTTTTTTTATCTAAACTAGAGCAAAAGAGAGTTCAGCAAGTGTCGCCAAATATTCCATTATATTCCCTGTATTAGCTTAGTGTGTCTGGTTTGAGCAACTGAGTGGTGCCCTTGAGCAAAGCATTGAACCCCAACCATTTGTGACATCTGCACTAAGAGGAGCCCTGGTCGTGCATTTATTTCTGACCACTGTGTGCGTAGCATGGACAATTAATTGAATTTCCCGAGGGACGAATAAAGGATGTCTTCTTCCTCGTTGAAGAACACGCGCTATCGAGCGTGTGGCCTGTCACGTGTGCTAAAAAGCTGCTGTTGCTGTTCAACCGTGCTGCAGTGGACACTCCTACCTGGGCCTCAGGCGGGCCTGCGCCTCCTCAAAGTCATTGTGGAGGAAGAGATCCAGGGAGGCCATGCAGTCCTCCAGAGCCAGCGACAGGTCCGAGGTCGAGCACCTAGTCGAACAAAAGCAAACACAGGATGTGGTGAGTCACCAAGTAGTCCCTGTCATTACCGGAATAAATATTCATCCTTCCTTTCCCCAACCAAAAGAGTTTAGTCCGGTGCCCACGCTCAAATCAAATGAGTCTCAACATATGTTTCAACACACTCGAAATTCAAGAGCCCCTGAGCTAGATCTGACCTTCCACATTGTTTTTTGTAGCTCTGACTTTTGCTCTAGCTAGCTAAATGCTAACAATCAAAATAAGGGGTAATTATGTAAGACTTCTGCTTTAGCTAGCTAAATGCTAACAATCAAAATAGCTAAGGGAAGAGAAGTGCCTCTCTCTCGAGCCTCACGCCTGCAGTCTGTAAACAAATACAGTGCATCTCAGCTCCAGGCAAACAGACATCATAGCTAGCCATGTTGGAAATCATTGTAGCCTGTCTTGAGCTCTTCAGATGGAGCCAAAGCAAATAACAAATGCCATTTTGGAGCGTTTTCATAGCACACTGTTGAATCTGTTACTGGGGCACTTGTTTGCATTCCCTACACAGAAATATTTAAGATGCCTCATCAAGAATGCTAGCGATAACGGTTGTTTCCCAAATGTATAAAGCAAATTATGGAAAATTAATTGTCCAGATTGAAAGATAGGAAATTTTGCCATTTACCTTTTTAGGGGGAAAATTGAAACCATCAAAATGAATATTCTCTCCTGTTTGAATGAATGAATGAATACTTTATTGTCATTGCACACTTGTTACAACGAAATTCTGCAGGAGCCTCCATCCCCAAGTGCGTCGCGAAATATAAAAATATAAAAAATATTTAAATACATTGCACTCCCCTAGACCCACACACAATCACACGCATACGTTTAAAATTGATAGTCAGCGTTATGGAATGGATTTTTTTTTTTTTTTTTTAATTGTGATAAGAATATGTTAGATATTCGGCACTAGTTAAGGTACAGTCCAAGTTGTCTTACAAAATGATATGAATCAGGGATTAACATGACAGTATGTGGACTATTTCGGATAATTGAAATACAGTCAGAGATATCATGAGGTATTTAGTAAAAAATATGTGCTAACATTTCAAGCTCTACAATCATAAAGAATTGCATGAAAGAAGATTGGAGAATAATTTTAACAACACATCAAGTACTTTCTATGAACCTCATTTCCAAGGTACTTGTATAAATGTTTCAGATAGAACAAACATTGATCAATTCTGGTATCAATATCAATCTGATGATAGTGTTTACTTTTTCAAATATTGTTTTAGAGATCATTCTATATCGGTGCAAAATAATCAGTTCGAAATATCAGAAAATAGTGAAAAACTGAGTCGCTTTCCCGACCAAAGCATCTGTGTTTGGATGCCATTTGAGGTCGTCCGTTACATGCACACCCAGGAACTTGAACATCGAGACCTTCTCCACCCAGACACCGCCCATCTGTAGTGGGGAGGGTTCTGCTCTCTTCCTCCTCCAGTCCATCACCATCTCCTTTGTTTTGCTGGTGTTCAGTAGCAAATTGTTTGATGAACACCAGCCTACGAGTCTCTGTACCTCCTCCCTATACGCCGTCTCATCGCCATTGGAAATGAGACCCACCAATGTAGTGTCATCGGCGAATTTCACGATGACATTTGAGTCATACTTGGGGGTACAGTCATGTGTGTACAGTGTAAATAGGAAGGGGCTCAGCACACAGCCCTGGGGGGAGCCCGTGCTGAGTGTTAGTGTGGAGGATGTGCGGGGCCCCACCCTCACAGTCTGTGGTCGATCTGTCAGGAAGCTTCTGATCCATTTGCAGGTGGGGGATGGGTAGTCCAGGTCCTTCAACTTTGTGATGAGAATGTCGGTCAAGATGGTATTGAAAGCTGAACTAAAATCCACAAAAAGCGCCCTGACATAGCTTCCCTGCTTCTCTCCATGGCTCGCGACAGCATGAACAAAGGTGGAGATGGCATCAGCTGTTGATCTATTTTGTCTGTAGGCAAACTGATGCTGATCAAAGTTCTGTGGGAGGCGTGATTTTAGATTTTAGGTTTATGATATTTGTTTTTGGTCTTGCCAATATATTCCCGCATTTCAATTTAAAAACATGCCAAAAACTGCTTTCTTCTTTTATTTGGCAAAAAAAAAAAAGAAAAAAGAAGAAGCCCAGAATTAAATTTACGTTGGTGACCAGCAGTAAAGTCGGTGGAGGTCTTAATTTACCGGATTTGAATTTATACCGCTGGGCAGCACAAGTGCCAACATAGAAATAATAATAATTTATGGAAAGTTAACATTCATTTCCATCATTTTTAAATCTGACATGACAAAATCGAATCTGTGCTGCAGACAATGTGGGTGCTGTAATTAGATCTACTGTTCCTTTTGGGACATAATTTATCAAGATGTTTATTGTTATTGTTTTTTGTTATTATATTTTATACTTGCTGTATAACAAGTATCTGTTGCTTTTGTAAAATTTTAGAAAAGTTGAGATGTTACAGACTAGATAGTCTGTGTTGTTAACAGAAAAAAAAAAATGCCAGCGATAAACAGAGGTTCACTGTTATCACTATGGAATTATTGATGAGCTGCCTTTGGTAATACACATATCCGTACTTATATTTTTGAAAGCAAAGAAACTCCCTAATTATCATGTCAATGCATGCACATGACCCTCACGTGAGGAGCATATGGCAGGAGCCACTTCATACTCCCCTTCCTCCATCCTGCCGCCTTCGCAGGATTCCAATCACAAGGCACATGATCGCCTTTAAATGGGACTTTTATTTCTCCATTTCTGCATGCAGCGTGAAAGCATCACCGACGTGAAGCATCCCGGGCCACAGCACGCTGAAGCGTGTCGATGTGTTGTCAATTGTCATCAAGCTGATTTATTCTGTTGAGTTGTCTCTTTCTTAAACTCGTTGCACTTTGAAGTCTACGCATTTAGTTGTTGAGTTCATGTGGTGGTGCTCTTGAGCCACAAACAACAGATTTGCACGCTTTTTTTTTCCCCTCTGACCACCATACTGATCACATGAGCTTGGCAAATTGTCTTGAATTTAAGGAAACGAGAAAACACTCAGTCACGGTTAAATCAAGCGTTGACAACTCGGACCAGTGGAGAAGAATAGAAGAGCAAAACCAGCACAAACCACTAATCTGTGTCATAGCGATGACTAATATACAGCATTCACTTGACATTCCGACCTATTAAAGCGACACAAAGAAACTGTCACACGCACGCGCACGCAGATGCCCACACAAACACACACACAGGAGAGCATACACTGGGCAGCATTGGCTAATGACGTGCGGGTGACTACTGGGCTCACCATATGACCAGCAGCAGGTTGGACTGTCTGAATTGAAGGAAGGAAAAAAAATACAACAAATGAGGGGTCCTTTTAGCAGATGACAATGGGACGAGGGTCCCTTAATGAGTTGATAAGTACGGTAATCATAAGAGTCATGTGCTTGCCTAAACGCATATTAGACAAAAAATGTTGGAAAACGCTTGTCAACAGTACAATTTTGAGAAAAGCTGCAAAGTTTGGAGAATCAAGTCATAATTTAAGAAGGGAAAAGGTGTCATTTTAGTTAGTAGAAGTGGTGATACAGGAAAATGTTGCAATGGTAGGAGAAGAACGTCTTTTGTTTTTTTGAGAAAATATCAAAATGATAACAACAAAACGTTCTATACCTTACTACTATGAACTTGTAATCACGTCCTCAAGAATAAATACAAGCAGGTTTAGGTAACTGAATTTTTGGCTTTTTATCTTGAAAAGTTACAATATTTTAATTAGTAATATTTATACTTATTTACCCATGTATTCTTGTGATTCTGTGACTTTTATTCCTCTCAAATTTGTGATTTTTTAATTTAATTTAATTTAATTTTTTGGATGTGGACCAAATAATCTTTTGTACTTGTCAACTGCCATCGCCAAAAAATGAGGGAACGCACTTTGGAGGAAAGATGACTTGGGGCCAATAATCTCAATAACCCCCCGCCCCCCATTATGTCACACAAACTGCTGCCAGATCATCCAAAATACATATTTGCTCTGAGCGAAGGAGGCAAACACTCATTGAAGCAGTTTAAACAAGAAGTTTCCTCAATGTCCTGCTATTGCGGATGCACAAGATAGTAAATGAGATTTGATTTATCACTTCAAAATCAATACTTCCTCTCATCCCACAGAGCTGTAATCACTCTCCGAGATCAACTAATGCATTGTATGACAGTTGTAGCAATCTAATAGATGCGTGTCTGACCTCATCACGGACTTGCCTGCTGTTTTCAAAATCAAACATTGTCAGGAAATAATATTTTAATGCGACATAAGTTAACGTCATTTTAATTTAAATGCTCAATCATCACATGTTCTCAGAAACAGTACGTGCAACTTTTACTGAACAAGTAATCAAGACTTTCGTAACGTTGTTTTCTTTCTGTTTTCACAGCGACGACATAAAAACACAATATTGTACATCTTTTTAAGGATACACAGCCTCGGTAATAACATTACAAAAAAAAAAATGTACCTTGCATTTGCAGGTCAACCCCAATTCGCCTAATTCTGTCTCATTATGTTGCACCCGCTTCAAAGTTTTAAAGATTTTCCCCAAGCGGGCAAAACTGCCATGTTGGTCATTTAGCAGCTTGCATGGTAAACATCGTCAATTCAGCAATTCAACTTCGGAGCTGATCTATGGGTGAGTCACAAGATGCCATATAAACAGAGAAAAATAGTTTTCAACTCAGTTTTTTGGGGGGTGTGCTGCCTCATTTTTTAAATGCAATGTTACATAGTTTTTTAATATGCCGGTCTCCACCACTTACATTTCGCTTCACTTTTACTGTCAACAGCACATACAATCGATAAACGTGAAGCCCAAAGTATTCCCTGTTGCTGAATGTCAGGCATCTTCAAAGGTTGAATCGTTTTCAAGTATTATGTGACAGTTTTATTATTCAGAGATTAACGTCTGGTATATGTTGTCTTGTATGACACTTAGGAATGCATAAAGGTTACTTGAAACCTTGCCTGGATATTAAAGTTTGATGGTGGTGACTGAGTTTGGAACAAATGAGTTCGCAGTGAAGCCCGACCATATCATTGCACATCGACCGGGCTCCTGCTACACGACACATTTTTAAGTCGTCCGTTTTTATGGTTTTTCGCAGTGTCTGTACAGTCAAGTCAAAATTTGGAGTCGCGTGCCTTCTGTGTAGTACCACGTTGTGCTGCAACACGCCAGGCAGCGTTTAGGTCTACTTGAAGCGATCCAGCATGTAATTTAAGGGCAAGAAACAGAGGCAGAGAAGGTCCCCAACTAATCTCCAGTACTAGTATTAGTCATTGCTCTCACAGAACAAGGAGACTGTATTTACTGAATATGGTTGTATGTGTTCCTGCTCCGTGTGAGGAGCAGGTTTGTGTGATGGTTGATATGCTTATTTCAGGTGACCTATCAATGGCACTTCAAATTAGATGCTAGCATTAAAAGAGCAGACTACAATATACAGCTTGGTGTTAAAATAAACAGTAAACAAGGGTTTACTATGTTTCCTCTGGAATTTTTTGGGGGGCAAATTACGTCAATTTAGAAGTCAACTAGTGCTGGTTTCAAATTTGAGAGCTTCCGCTGTATTTGCAAGTGTAGATAAAAGTTATTTCATTTCTCTTGACTTTAAAACTGAATTAATCCTAATGTTGACCCCAGAGGTGTTAAATTATCTGTCATGGAGACAATACAAGGAATAAATAATTTCTTTACAATTGGAAAACCAACTCAACTGGTACAAACAAGTGAGAATCAAGCCGGCTAATATCAACATCTGGAAGAATACATCATCCTCTTACTGCACTGTGAGAAAGTACAACAAGGACAATGAACACAGCAGACATACTGGAAGGCAGAATTTTTTTTGTTTTGTTATTTCAAGCCCTCACGCTTGATATCGTGGCCAGATTTCCTGATTATCATTGAAGCAAGCGCACTCAAACATGTAAAATCACTAAGGGAGCGCAGCAACGATTCACATTCACACCTCTGCGCAACATCTCCGCACTTGGCGAGTTAATGACATCCCATTATCGACCCTGCCTCACTGCTGTCGCTGTCTACTGTATTGGGCTTTCTGTGCTGCGACACAAAGCGGCTCGGAAAAACAATCCCAGCAAGTTTGTCCACATGCCTGAGCTACGGCATACGTATTAGCCGTGCAATAGTGGGAACGGAAGAAAGCAAACTAACAGACGGGCCATCCCGGCCATGCCGCGCGAGTGACGTCTCTTACCCGTTCGACTGTGGCCGTTCTCTTGACATTTTCGTGCGTGAGGAAACTAATGCGAATGAGATCCGAAGATTAAAAGGATGGTGTTTCTTTCGCAAAGAGAAGCAGCAGCAGGGCAGCTGGAGAGAGAGGGAGCAGGAGAAGGTGGAGGAGGAGGAGGCACGGGATGAGAGATGGGAGGAGGAGGAAGCACTCGGCGAGCTTATAATAAGATCGGGATGACTATCACACATCACACAAGGGGACACCAATGCTATCTCTGTCCTATCTGCAGTCAAACACGCCCATGCACACAACTCAATTTGTGGGAACATTCGTGAATCATTTCACGCATTATAGAGGGCCATAATTCAATTTAGGGTGGCCCAGTGGTCGACTGGTTAGCGCGTTGGCCTCGCAGTGCAGAGGTGCTGGGTTCGATTTCGGCTCCGACCTTCCCGTGTGGAGTTTGCATGTTCTCCCCGTGCCTGCGTGGGTTTTCTCCCGGTATTCTGGTTTCCTCCCACATTCCAAAAAACATGCGTGCCAGGTTAATGGAGCACTCTAAATTGTCCCTAGGTGTGAGCGCGGATGGTTGTTTGTCTATGTGTGCCCTGCAATTAGCTGGCAACCAGTTCAGGATGTACCCCACCTATTGCCCGAAGACAACTGGGAGAGGCTCCAGCACGCCCCGTGACCTTTGTGAGGATAAGCGGATCAGAAAATGGAAAATCAACCCTTCGCCTTGAGAATGTGTACTTTTAATTTCAGCAATGCTGTGAGCCTTGCGCCGAATGGTTGAGGCCAAATTGGGGGCGGAGCCTCAATCATGACAATTTGGTAGTCAAGACTCATCGGTCCTTTTGATCCATCTTCAAAGGGCATTTACAGGTAATACTTGTTGGTACTTGTTGAACAGTAAGTCACAAAGAACTCCCAACATCCACTGCCCAATCAGCACTCTTCACCTCCTAACTTGTAAAAAAACGACAACACATCAATCCATCCATTATCTACTGCGCATGTCCTCTTTTAGGGTTTGCACGTGAGCAGAGGCTGATCCTAGCCAGTTGCCAGCCAATTGCAGGGCAGATAGAAAAACAAGTCTTCACACTCCCTTTCACACCAAGAGAGTTGGAGCTGTCGTCATGCCAGAACAAGAAATACTTTGTGCTTTTGAAGAATCATGGGAAAGTAGTCTTATTCGATGGATCGATCGAACGTAAATTGAGCTATTTAAGATACAGTGCTTCACAATGTCTTATCTATGATGTATTTATTTATTTATTTGAAATAGACCCACTCATTAATACTGTGCCTATTAATATCGTGGTAGTGAGAAATTATATTTTCAAAAAAAAAATTGTGAAAGTGACGTGATCCACAAGGTCAAATTATTGGTCAAAATGTAAAGTTACTAAAATATGCACCAACCTTCTAAATGATTACAGATTGGGATTCCTTGTGAAATTACCTTTCCAACAAAACCTATTTTGTGAAGATTGACTCAGTAGTTCCATACAAGGGTTCAAAGGAAGGCGGCCACGCCGCTTTTTGCAGAACTAATTCAAATTTGGTGGGCCATATCTCCCAAACCCCTGCTCCAATGGACCTAAAATTTGAGATTTTGTGTTGTGTCATCACTATCAACAAGTAAATCTTAAATAATCATCAATCAAAAATCCGAGTGGTTTGGTTGGGTTAAACCCACTCGGGTGATGTGGCATGGAATGTCTCCCTTGCACAAAGTCAAGTGGGATCGGCTGCAGCTCACCCGCAACCTTGAACGAATGGGCTACTCCAGTTTGATTTTACATCACATTTGATCTATTTACACATTTTATTCATTTTAGGCATTTAACTTATTTTGGCCATGACTGTCTGATATTATTAACCCTTTAACCTGATAAAATGATAAGCTGTCCAAATAAGAGCTGATAGTGTAATTTGAGGTTACACTATACAAAGAAAGATAACTGAAACAACAAAGGAGGAGATACTTCAAGACTAAACTGCTGTGGAAAAAATATGGAACAACTCCTGAAAACTGTGGAAAATGAATTAACCAAATTAAAAAACTGGTTCGACAGAAATAAACTATCTTTAAATTTAACAAAAACTAAGTTAGTTATTTTTGGTACGAGACCAATTAAAGACCAAGTTAAAATAAAGATAAATTCAATTGAAATAGAAAGAGTTTATGAAAATAAGTTTCTTGGACTAGTAATAGACACCAAACTATCCTGGAAGCCACATATTGATAATGTTAAAAGGAAAATATCCAAAACTATCGGGATACTCCATAAAACTAAGGATGTGTTGAATATGAGTTCCTTGTACACATTATATTACTCATTATTACTCCCATATATGACCTACTGTGTGGAAATATGGGGTAACGCCTGTAAATCAAACACACTCCCTGTCTTAAAACTACAGAAAAAAGCAATCAGAATAATCAATTGGTCTAAATATATCGAACCCACAAATCCACTATTCATCAAATCAAATACAATGAAATTCTATGACCTGGTTGACTTCAAAATTGCCCAATTAATGTATAAAGCACATAACAATCTCCTTTGTCAAAATATCCAGAAGCTTTTTGAAATCAGAGATAGTTGTTATAATCTAAGAGGTATTAATCAATACAAAAAATCCAGAACAAGAACAAACATCAAGCAAAGATGTGTATCAGTAATAGGAGTTAATCTGTGGAATAAGCTTGAGATGGATCTGAAAATGAGTAAATCTTTGGACGAGTTCAAAAACAAATTCAAAAGATTAGTACAAAAAAACTACATGAAACAAAGTTAAGAAGATAAATTTTATATACTGGTACCTATAAAATATAGTAATACTATGGTTTGTTCTTGTTCTGGATTTTGAACAACTTATTGAATGTATTCAAGAAATGTAGTATATATAATGAATATGAGTCATTTGATATAAAAAGTAGAAAGAACAATGATACATATATACAAACCGAAAGGTGTATCAATAGATAAGTATAGTACACAAAAGGGTAAAAGTATTTGATGAAATTTAGATTTCTTCCTTTTCTTTGGTATTGGAAATGATCAATATACATTATTGCACAACAAGGGGTAGGACTAGATAAGTTGTATACTTCTTCCTACTCCTTTGAACATATAACTGTGATGATGTTTGTATTACTTACTTTTACTTTTATTTTCCTTTCATAGTTTTTGTTTGCATTTTGTCATGTTGTTGTATGTTTTATATATGTTCAATAAACAAACAAACAAACAAACAAACAAACAAAATGTATTTTTACAGGTATTTAACACTCCACAGGTTTCACAGCAAAAAACGCAACCAAACAAAACCATTGCGCGTCATACCATACGTTATTATCACAGCGGGGAGGAGCTACAGCAATACCGGCAATGATTTTCCGCCGACGTCAATGTGTCACAAGTCATTGTAATTCAGTCAGGTTGTTGTGAAAGTGTCGCCATGGCAACAGTAAAGTCCACAGTTTGGGCTTACCCGTTGGAAGCATTTTCTTGTTCCGGGACATCTGTGGTGTTTTGTAACTCCAACCTAAAAGAATGAACAACAGCAGAGGAAGTAGATCATCTGGAGGGATGAAATCCATCTGAGCAGCCAACAATCGCTCGAGGAATACAAGCGGGGGACACGGTTAGCAGGTGGAATCTTAGGTTTCTACTGAAATAAATGTCTGTGAGCTTTGGGAAACTGTTGTTGAATGAAGTCACAGTAGTGAACAAATGGTCGGTATGAGTCCCTGTGGCAAGAAAAAAAACTAGGGTTGTACATTCATTTGCAAAAAGAAGGCCGAAACCGACTCTAGACTGTAATGTTAGCAATGACGCTAACAGTAGCACAGCATAAAGTCACCTGGCTGGCCCCGATCATCCACAGTTGTCATGGCAATGACAGAGTGCACATATCACTGCATCATCATAACGAATTTAAAGCTATTATTTCTGGTCGAATTAGAACATACATTAACTTTAACCCCCCTCATACATTACAAAAGCACATTTCAGAAGAATCAAAATCCTGCTGAAAGCCGATGGTGCACTGCTGCTCCGGCGATGACAGATGCCAGTGGACCATAATAAACTTTTTAAAGCAGCTGTGTTTTTAGGTAGAATTTCACATATTTGACCTTTACAAGCACATAGTCCATTGCAAGAACACACGAGTTAAAGTGCTTTTGGTCTGATTTTAGTACTTATGGAACATAAAGTGACCTGGCTGGTCAGATAGGTACATGTTCCTGTGTACCATTAATGGAGTTGAATTAACTTGATATCATTAAATTCACTCACTTGAAGTCACTGATGATAGGATCCAATTCTGGAGTGTTTATGACTGAAAGCCTATTGCAAAACACAGAAGAATAACAATGTCTCTTTTCTCTCTCTCTTTCTCTCTCTCTCTGTCTGTCTGTCTGTCTCTCTCTCTTTCTCTCAAAAATGTCAAGCCGTGGAGGCATTGGATGGAAGGTACCTGCTTGGGGAGTCCGGGCCATCAGGGACACTTTCTGCCTTCGTGACATTCCTGTGAAGAGGTTAAAGTTCAACTTTATCTGATGGATCTTGTGATTGCGAGAAGATGGCAGCAGAACGAATGTGACGACGGGCCAGACTGACACATTAAAGCCATTTCAAGCATCGACACAAATGGATGTTTTTGTCACATTATTGGGAAGGCAAGTCAACAGGAAGTGGCTGGGTCATTGTGGTTTTTATTGAGTGTGGATTTTAAGAAGCATTTTGAACACTTACCGCATTCAGTTCTTATTCAAATAAACAGTGTTAATTTTTCACACTTCCTCTAGTGTCAAATCTGAGTGTTACTGTTAGTGCAAAGTAGAGATGAAACGATTGACTTATAACCATGATAAAATGTCAAACTTCATACAGTTTCAACGTTTAATTATTGATAATACTGTAGTTCGTCTTATTTGTTCTGAACTGCTCTGCCCTTTTAAGAGAGTGACGTCTTGGTGATTGATACTTCCACCTCCCAGGGCAAAGGCTCACCGCTAAAACGACAAGTGACAGGGCTAAAAATAAATTAACTTTTGGTCTCACATATACAATATGGCAACACGGTTGTTTGCTGTAATGTCTTATTTCCGATCAATTACGTCATTGATAGATTGCACAAATTATGACAATACAGTCGATCAGGGATTTTGTGTTGAAATGCAAAATATTGACCACTTTCGATGAGATCGGTGTAATGTCTTATTTAGACCTTCTAGCAGTGAATCTCACAATATATCATGGTGGTCCTGGGGACTTTGGAAGACTACTTACCGTTGCTTATCCAAAGTGTCAAAATACGCTCGATATAAAAACTCTGAACACACCTGCTCAAACGCCAGGATTTTGTGATATAAAAAAAAATCTTACCCAGATCAATCAAAACTTTTTGCCATTATTAATGTGACCTATAATTAAAAATGAAATCTCTTTGTAAGGGGAAGTAAAAATAACTAAGATAATGGTAGTGGTGGTTGTTTTGTTTGTTTGTTTATTTGTTATTAAAATAAAAAGATACAAATTCATTTATGACTCTGTATTTTCTCCTTTTGACTTCAAGTACAGGAGTTAAATCAGTACTTCAACTTTCACCAGTCTTTACGACGTGCGAGTACTTTTACCAACTCGAAGAGGATCATTTTCGACCGGTGTGCCTCATGTTTTGTCTGCTGAGTGAGTGGGAGATGAATTTGTTCTTGAGTGACACGTTTACTTCCTGAACGCAATCTTAAATGAAGAGCCACTCATACATCTATCAACGTGGAAGTATTCAACCCTCCCCACCACCCAAAAAAACAAAACAAAAAATGAAACGAGACATACTGTGATGGTAATGTATAGGTCGTGTTAAATAATACTATATATAACAGTGTGGCTAACAAGCCTACTTGACCATATCAGGCGGTGCAATGTCGCCCAACAGGCTGTCGACACCAGCAACACACGGTACGAGTTTACGTGAGTCATTAAACACACCACGTAGCATAACATATTTACTTTTAAGTTCAATTAGTACATATGAAATAACGTAGCAACTATTTTCAAGAGCGACATTGACGAAACTTCCCCCCCCCCCCACTCTCCGCCGACTCACTTGCTGCTGTCATTTCCCTTTACACTCCGTCTCCACTTGAGAAAACTCATTCCACAGCGGGCAGGGGCAGCTTCTTGACGGGAGGTGACACTCGGGAAGCTCCCACGGATTTGAGGTAGAGAGGGAAGAAAGGGTACCGGCCAAAAGTGGAGGGAGGGAGGGAGGGAGAGCTGCCTGGCTCGCTGCCTTCTCCTCCTACAGCGTGACGTGGGAAGGTGCGTTTGGCGTCAAGTCAAATAGTCAAACAGAGGTGGGAGGATCGATTAAATTAACGTTGATATGGAGACATCATCCCTCTACAATCATCCACCCTTACCCTAAAACTTTCTGGTCGCCTCTCTTCCTTTTCTTCCCGGACTAAAATCTCAGCTGCACCCCGCCTATGGAACAGCTTCCCCCGATCCATTTGCTGGTCAACCCCTGCACTCTTGTAAAAAAAAAAAAAAAAAAACAGAGCTGAGATTAAAACCCAGAATATCGGAACCGGGAAGAAGAAAAAAAATAATGCATACTGTAAAATGACCACTACTGCTTTTTAAAAGCCATATTACATTATACAGTATGGATCCATACATGTTGAGGGCATTTATTTAAATACAATAAAACTACACATAAGCAATTATTTATTTATTCCACTTCCATTTAGCGTGTTACATATTTGTCAGAAAATATGATTTCTGAACATGCCTGGAAACAACATAGTGGTTATGCGTCTGTATAAATGTGGGCGGAACGGCCTGGCCTGTGCGCTGCTCTATTTACACAAATTACAAGTGAGCTGTGACGGGGAGTCACCACATGTAAAGCGGAAATTACAAGTGTTCGATCAGTCTACAAATAGCAAGAGGGGAAAGGCAGGAGAGGGAGAGCCTTTATTTTCCTCTTCTCATCCTGAAAATCATCCTCGAAATCACACGCGAGTACATAATTCAAATAATATCTACAACGCCTGGGGGATAAATTACTGGATGGCTATTCATTTAACATGTTTATCAATAATAATTTGGAGGGTCTGAATGCAAAGTGGATTCACTACAAGTTTAGTTCAGGGGTGTCAAACTCATTTTTGACATGGGCCACGTTGGAGTTACTTCTTCCCTCGGAGAGCCGTTATGACAGTGAAACCAAATTAATCGTCTCATCGTATTATTACTTGTACACCACAAATTGATGGATTAGTAGTTTTAAAAGTTAGTTACTCAGATGCGGAGGACTGGCCGTTTTATTGGACAATAGGCCTTGATTTTGTAAAACAGCTCCCAGCGATGGGGAAACCTTTTCTTTTTAGTCCTCAGAGGAACATGAACAGCTGTGGTGCAAGAATTTAAGACTTTTTTTTCATTCTAAGTAGTACAAGATAAGTGGCCTCACTTACATTTTTTTTCTAGATGTGAGCCATTGTTCAGCTTTCTCATATAACTGTCGGCTATCTTAATGCTAACAATTCAAAACACCACAAATGGGCTAACATTGGTATCACAGAGTCATAACCTTTTATGCCACGGATATTTGAACACAGACAAAGCAATGCATGGGTAATATAATACTCCCAAGGCATATATTCTTTATCCTCTGTGATGAAAGACTAATATTACCACACCTTACTGAAGAGTTGTCATCGCCTCCATTTATATCCATATATCTGTATGATACTGCCCGCAGGTGGGCAGTGTCTATACTCTATAATAAGAGCATCACAATGTCCATCGTATTATGGCAAAAACAGTTGACATAACGGTACTTTTTTTTTATGAAGAATAATATAGAATGCATTTTTTTCTTTTTAGGAATCACATTACACATTGTTTTTTTTTGTGAGGCTGGAATTAACTGATGATATTCCCACAGATTTAAATAAAGAAGTATTATTTGACCTACAAGTGTTTAGAATTATAATTTAACTCGCATCTCAAAGCAGAACTGTATTTATCATGACAGTAGACGGTGGGTGATGTAAGTGTGTGCGCTGCCACTCAGACACTGAGTCACTAATGAGGGAAGGAGATAACTTTGATAGAGTTGTGTACATTTAATGATCTATGCATTCATTTGTTCCATTTTGCTGTACAAAGTTAGGAAAGCAGCGTTCAAGTGGAGTCTGTCGTGGCGTTGAGCAAAGGCAGACGCAATGGGGCTTCGAGAGCGCGGCCCAACTGTCGCTACACCAAACCTTGACGGTGCACCCTTAATTGACATCTTTATAAAATTTAAAAAAAACAAACTAAATCAAAATTCAAGTTATGACAGTCTTTAAAAAGATGCCGCAAAACAACGATATAGTTTCTCAAATGTTACATTTAGTTTACATCTGCAAATATAGAGACTCATGTTGAATCTTAATGCTCGCTTCATATCACAATAATTTGGATGCCGTTTGTTTCATGCTTTTCTCAGATAAACCATGCTGGGCTTACAGCCCGGATGTGGTTTAATAATTTTTTTTTTTTTTTTAGTAAGAACCTGGCATGCACTTCACATCTGCTTGTTGTCATCGGGTTTGGGCGGGAGGGCGGGGCTAGGGGAAGGAGATAAAAATCACATTCAGTCATGATGGCTTCTACATTCCAGTTGGATGACTTTGACACATTTTTTACTGCTAATATTCTTCACAAAACGAGCAAGAGCTGTTCTGAAATGGACTGTAGTGCGTTAGGTTAGTGGATAAAGCTCTAGAAGTGTGAGTGCAGGTTTAGAATAAGTTACATTCTGGAGTAAGTCATAAAGGGACATAACTCTCAAAATCACTGTTTTCCCCGTTCATCCTCACAACAGGATGGAAAAGACAGTCCGGAGGACAACATTGCTTTAGTCCAAGAACGTGCTGAATTAGTCCTACAGGGTCCCCAAGACGCTTTGGTTCTGAAACAGGCCACGTGTGGCTGTGCCGGGGCGGGGTGAGGGAAAAGTGGAGGAGAGAGGTTTTTTTCGGGTGGGGTGTGATGGCCGAGGGGGAGAAGCCCCTCAGGAGAGTTCAGATTTGCTGAGAGCGATGGCCAACTCCAGGTCCTCTTGTTCCTGCTGGGTGAGCCTGGCCAGACGCTCTTTCTCCTCGCGCTCGCTCTCGCGTTTTGCCCACTCGATCATGTCTTCTTCCGTTGGGTACTGACACAAAAGACACACATAGGATGTTAACAGGATTGTGACCTGTGACTGAGATGTTGGTTGACGCCACAAAAAAAAAAAAAAAGAAAAAAATGGTGCCGCCACCATGATCTACAGTCGTACTCCGATTTACAGGATTAATTCATTCCGTGAGCATGTGAATGGAAATGCCATTAATCTGTTATGGCCTCCCTCCAAAAACAACAGACATTTTTATAAGAGGTTTATTAAGAAGGAAAAATGCACAGTTTGCCCATCATGATTAAGTCATCGCGACTACTTCTGGCGTACACGACTTGGATTCCGGAGGCACTGTCATACAGTCATGAAGACACCATCGAAGAAGACTTTCACAACTACTGTAGGTGACTCAATAAAGTGCAGTAATATTTAGGGCCCGACCGATTAATCAACCAACGTTGTCTCTTTTAAAGTTGCCAATTTATACTTTGTACACCCGACGTTAAACTACATTTGATCCATCCAGCCATCATCTCACGATTGTCGCGGGCGTGCTGGATCCCATCCCAGCTGACTTTGGGGTAGATACAGGCGGCCCGTTTCTTCAAAAAATAACCTAAATCGGAGCATTCGTATCTCAAGGCACCAAATCAGTTTTGGGGTATTTTTTTTAATACTGGAAAATAGCTCTCATAATGTAAAATAATTTAAAAAATACATCTATAAAAACACAACACATAACAGACAATGTAAAAAAAAAAAAAAAGGGGGTTTATTAATATTACGTCCCAAGTCACACACACAAACACGCTGATCACTAGTGTGTTGTGTGCCTTTGGGTGTGACAAAAAGTCAATGTCATCAGTAGGATGGAGCCAAAGTCTGGGTCTCCGTTAAGCAGACGGTTAGTTCCGCGTTAGCGTCTTTATTTTGTATTTGTGTGTTTGACTGTCCTGTTCAATAAAGAGCTCAAAGTGCATTGGTAAAGGTCGCTCAAAGTGACTCCGCTTGGTACCACCGTCCTATAAAGTATGTGAAATTCTTGTAATCTAGTGGTTGAACCTGTCTGCATCAAAATCCCTCATCACCTCTGCTGCTCACAGCACCCATATTTGCATAATGATCCTGGTGCTGACTAAGATCACGTGACGTATTTGTGAGGACCACGCGCTTTTCTAAAGCGATGTATGACAAAAATGCATGTATAAAAGATCCACATCAGTAACCCAACAACAAAGGGTTTTCAGCAAACAACAAAATATCCTCACACTGTTTCAAAAAAATAAAAAAAATCCAGGGCAAAGAGGTCTCGCATAAAAAATACCATTCAAGGACGGCACAAAACTGCTGAACAAGAAACCAAGAAGTTATTTTGTAATTTTTTTCACACAAATCAAGTCACTCACGTTTTTAATATTCTTGTGGTACGATGTTTGTATATTATTCCATATCGACAAAAAAATAAAATAAAACAATGAGGCGTACTCACGTTGTTGTAAAGGGCAGTAGAAGACCTGGTGGAAGTGGAACAAAAACGTGTCTGCCATCTAATGGTGACTGGTAATATTACAATTTAAGATTACAGTTGACCCCTGCATTTTCAGTTTGTAACCTGCAGATTTGCATATTCATGGATTTTTTTCATATTTTGGATTTTTACTTTTTTTTTTGGGAAGATTCACCACATTTTCCTGTTATCTTTTTTTAAAAAGTAGTTGAATGTTCGTCAGTATTTACGGAATATTTTTTGAGTTTGTAAAAAAGATCTATCATTAATCAAGGGGTCCCTCAGTGTGGTCACAGGCCTGTTGCCCATCCCTGATGTAGGTGTACCTAATCAAGTGATCTTTGTGTGTATCACATGTGAGAAAAGGACAACAGTTTTCAACAGTTAAGACATTGAAAAGAAAATCCAAAACAGAAAACATGCATTATCACGGCCAGCACATGTGATGCCGATGGAGGATGAAAACAAATCATGCAAATCAACTTAAGTGAATTTAAGAGGATGATGATGATGATGAAGACGAAGAGGAGGAGTGACCACATAGCATGTGATCAGTGTACCGGTAGATTAAAGTAGGATCAAAATTGGGATGACGTTCCTTAATACCGTATTCCTTACAGAGAGTACTTCATGTTTAGTTGAAGTAAGGTGTGTTATTGCAGGAGGCCTTACTTTGAATAGAGGCTTTTCAGGGTGGAGAAACAATAACGTCTGGAAATGTCAGAAGGTCCAATTAACCTGTGTCCCCACCTGTTGCCGCCCAGATTTCACAGGGACGACAAACAGGTATATTTCATTTGAACTTCTCTCAACTTTTGAATGAATATATCCAAGTGTCAGTGCTTAATGCACAAAGTGCCGTTCTCTGAAAAAGAGCTGAATATTCACAACTGTTTGATCCATGAAATCTTCCAAGGCCGGCCACTTTTATGCCTTTCTGTGACTCTTACAGTCTTCTCTGTTACAACGTGCTCTTAGCCCATGGCCCATGGCCTCTTCCGCTGCTTGAAGCCTCACTGTAGCAAGATAGTGTTGCTCACTTGTTACATGTCACCTCATGTCAAAATGTGAACAGCACAATGAAGAGTTTAATACTTCTTTACTGACTAATTCTTAATTAACACCTGTTGCAAATTCAGCTCCTTGTTAGAGAACAGCAAGTTGTGCAAAAAGACCTTTGAACAGTTGTAACGTGCATTCTCAATGCAAATTAGGCACACCTGTATAGGTTACAGTGCATTTTAGGTTAATTGTGATATTTTACTATAAAGCCCAGTAGATTGCAGTTTAAAAAGGAGACAGAAAGGATTTCAAAACATTTGTGTTTCTTCCCCAAAATATTTATCCTGTTGCTATGTCATGCTATTTGTATTTTTATTTGAGTGGCCACACGCGCCCCTCGATGGAAACGTGGCTGGGTCATAAAGGGAAGGGAAGCTTCCGAGAGGTGCCTTCTGTATGTCACCATCAAAGTATACTCTGGGGTGAGGCGTTGATTTAAATGGATGATAATTGAGGGATGGCATTTATTACAATGGGAGATATTTACATGTCTATTTGATTTAGTGTTATAAAAGAGGCCCTAACCTATACTTCAATGCTATACACGTTTTTCCTTAAATAACAGCCGCTGCTTTAATCAAAGCCATTCGCCAATTAATAACCAGTTTCATTTAATGAGCACCACACCTCAAATAGCAACATTAAAATGTTACATAAGCATTTCCTGTATTTTGTGATGGCGTCACAACTGATAATTCACTTTCCATTATTTCAAGTGGAGGGTGGGAGTGAGGAGGGCGGGATTGGAAGTCAACCAGCATCACAGAATGGATTGCGATCAACTTTCAGGGGATTCCAATGTACTTGCTTTGAACGACTTAAGTTCTGTATGAAAATGAATGCATGTGGCACTGTCACGGTGGAATTTAACACAATTAAATAAATAGATAAATAAATTGGAAAGTTTGGCTGACAGTCATGTTGCAAAAGCTCATGCGGTTACATGCAGATAGAAGCACAGAAGTCAAAGAGGGCGCCCTTGATTTCACTCTTTATTTAAAGTTTTCGATGTAAGGACATGGACACAGACACAGACACACACACACACACACACACACACACACACACACACACACACACACACATACACGCACACACACACGAAAAGCACTAGCTACATAAGGAAAGGCGTGCAGGCATCATGCGGGTATGATCATGTGATCTGCGAAGGAGTGGCAGTAATGAAATCATGCATCCCACATTGCATTGCTACAATAGGACCTTTTTTTTCAATTTATTAATTTGAAGCAGTGCCATCAAAACTTTGTAAAATGCATTTCACTGCACTGCTGGAAATATGACATGTACTGTACCGGAGACTCAAGAGGAATTAATAATTGCATCATCAGTTGGGGTGAAGCTGTGAATTAAAATTAAGTTTGGATGAGACTTGCGATGGCGAATGAGAGCCAGACAAGCAACCTCAAATTCCTTTCATCCCCGTCCTCCATCATCCCTCCATTCACTGCCCAGCATTCGTGCGACTGACTGGCATATGTAACAAAGCATGCAAGATGTGTAGCGTTGGTCTGTGGCCTCAACACTATTAGAAGCAATGAACTACATTCGCAACCTAAATTGTAATGTTTGTTCTCATGATTTTGAAGTGTTTCTCTTCCTGTGCAGTACTTGTATGTGAGATTTGTTTTTGTCCAATCAGATTTGCTGCTTGGTCAATCTAATCTGCCCCAGGCCTTCAGAATCAGTAGTGCTGGTTAATGCAATTCAAACTACAGCGCTGCTTTGAGACGCAAGTTACCTAACTTGTGAGTTTTTCCCGACACTCGTGGACATTTGGCCGATTTTTGGCTTGCGATATCGGTGCTGTATGGTGGCCGTGAACTCAATTCAACTCATTTCACAATAAACAGCGGCGAGGCAATATTTCATCAGAAAAGAAGTTCCAAGGGGTTTAATGCCACCTGCAGTTGAAGTTTACTGTCAAACTGAATTCAAAGAAAACTACATTTGGGGATTGAAAACAAGCAAACTACGGTGCCTTCAGATAGCATTAAGCTAGCGAGGGCCTAACAAATGGAAAATTCCATTGACGTGTTAATGGTGAGCATCGACAGTTTTACACGAATGGTGGAACAACACATGTAGTCAGATAACTCTGGTCAACAGCAAATTTTAATGAGGCTTTAATGTGATCCTAATGTCTTCTCTTTTCTAACATCAGGTTTTTGAGATATTTTAAATCTTTGTTTGCCAGCTAAGTGGCCCTCAATAATGTCATTATTTTTCTGTCCAATGACTGGTCAATTAACTTTGATCACAACAACGCCTCTGTGGAGATCAGCACCTATTCGCACCTTGAATAATCAGCATCTCATGTGAGTATGATGCATTTATTTAAATGGATTAGTCAAGCTATTTGATAAATACCAACTCTGAATGGCTCCAGATGATGTACCGTCATAGTAGAGGTGCGTGCTGTTATATTGCGTTGAGTAAGATTGATGGTTTCTATAGTCATGTTGTGTTGGTTTTAAAAGGTAGATTACGTGGGGTGTATCACCGCTGAACGCCCAGGTATCAAAAGTATATTGTACAGTGTGTCACCACATCCTTACATACAGGCGCGTCTAAACAAAACACTAATAATAATTTAACGCATTCATCTTTATCTACACCCCCCCATGAGACCCCCCCCCAAAAAAAAACCCTCCACCAAATTGATGATTAAGGAAAATCAAAGTATATGTAAGGAATGTGTCCACACAGTTTCCTGAAAGTGTTGATTGGTTTCTTGTGGCAGTGGATGGAGGGATTGAGAGAAAAGCACTGACGAAAGAAGGTGTGCGTGTGTGTGTGTGTGTGTGTGTGTGTGTGCCTACTGAGAGTCAGGTGGCGGTGAGGGAGAGGATGAGGAGGTGATGCTCACTTTGTCAAAGCTGGCAAATCGGTCAGCTTCCTGAACATGTTGACGAGGAGGGGAAGAGGGGGCGAAGGGGTCGGCTGCGGGATCCTTAGCAGGCAGGGAGGAGGAGGAGGAAGAGGAGGAAAACTCTCCCGAAGTTTGCGTAGGGAAGTGGCCACGTCGGTGGAAGGAGTCGGCGGACTCGGTTCTGGAGAGGGAGGCTCTCTTACCTGCGATAACCAAGCGAGTGCGTATTTTAGATGGTCACGCAGGCATGCTAAAGCTGCTTTCCCACAAGGGCTGAATGATTTTGACATATAATTTTGACAATTTGAGATATTTTTTTTCCCTTCAATATTGCGATTCAATATGAAACTGTTTATCAAGGTCCTCTTCCCATGCATTTTTTTGTATACGCACAAGCAATAAATTAATCTGAATTCCAACAAACAATCCACTACATAGCGTTCCTCACTTCTGATTGAGCTGCTTGAAAATTGCATCATTGACGACTCTGTACTGACCTGGAGGTGGAGGTGGTGGTCTAGTGGGCGTACCCGTTTTGGGAGGCAGGGCTGGGGGAATTTCCGTGTTGGCGGGCTGGCTGTCGACCTGGAACAAGTTCTTATTGTTGATGCCAAACTGATCGGCGCCGTTTGACTGCAACGTTCAAGCAAATGCATACAGAGAGCAATGTTAGGAGTTTGTAAATGACTCATTTTCCGGAATAGTCACAGTGTTTTGGTTTCATTTCATGTACCAGCTGTATTTTTTGATTCTTCTCAGTGTGAATCTCTGTTCATCATTGGGCTGAAAGAACACTCACTCACCATTTCTCAACCCTCTTTATTTAAACCAACAGTGGCATCGAGAGCCAAAAAAAATACAACTGGTTCATGAAGCAAATTTGAAGCTTCATTTGTTAAAAAAAAAAAAAAAAAAAAAAAAAAATTCAAGGCACAATCACAATGCTGAAAATAAACATTACCTTCGTCAGGGCACTGAAGTCAGCAAAGCCCCCTCCAAATGATTCATTCCCAAACACAGCAGCAAACGGATCTTTAATCAAAGAGCACAATAAACATTTGTAACATATTAGGTGTTAGGTATCCCCACAAGATAGCAGCATAGAAAAATTCCTACCCGGGTCCGAGTTGGCGCTCACTGTGGTACCACCTGGAGCGAAAGGGTCATTGGCTGCTGCTGGGTCCTTCTAAGAAAAATAAATGTTAAATTAATCTAACATGAGTTTGTGTCTTTCAATGTCTTACAGTGGACTCACCAATGCCAGACCAGCGCTGGGCGGAGAGGTGCTAAACGGATCTTTGCCTGTGTACTGAGAACCAAATGGATCTGAATCACCAGTGGCGTTAATCGAGTGAGGGAACGGGTCTGCTTGAGCTGTGTCTTTGCCCGTAGAGCTGAAGGGATCTGCGGCTGGTGCGGCTGGATTCGTAGGCTGGGAGGTGAAAGGGTCCGGTTCTGTCGCTGTTGCTGAGGCAGGATCGTTGCGCTTGGCCGCGAACAGGTCTGGCTCTGGCGCATCAGCGGTGTTCCCAAACGGGTCCGTGGAGCCACAAAAAGGGTCGTCTGAGGGAAGATGGCTGCTGGCGGTTTGCGTGAAGAAATTGTCTGTAGCGAAAGGGTCTGACCCTTTGAAAGGATCTCCCCCAAATGGATCTGGGGGGGAAAAAAACAAAACAAAACAAAACATAAAATTCTCTGGAATATGATGCAAGTTAATGCTGGATTTTTTTTTTTAAAGACAATTTTTTGGGGAGAACTAAAGCATATCCCAGAAGGGGGAAAAATTCTAAAGAGCAAAACATGTTTTGATTAATGTCTTTGTTATTTGCATTTTCTTTTTATTAAAGGGGTGGGGGGCAATTAAATTCTAATCAGGTTCTTGTGGTTTTCTTTTTAGTTTAAAGCAATAATCACCCAGGATCCTTGAAAAGTACCAGCATATAGGCAAGAGCATAGTAACGAACACAAAATCAACCCATTTATTTTCTACAGCGCTTGTCATCAGCATCAGTCTTTATGCTAGTTTGACGGTTAAGAATGTTAAAATGCTGCCGGTACAGTTTATGAAGGATTTATGATGGCCACACGAACAAATGAATTCACTTCACATCATTTCTTACAGAAACATCGACATGGAAGAGAACGTGTTAGACTTCGGAGATTCCAAGATTCCAATGCATTTGGTATTTGCTTTCTACAACTTACCAGCAGTGTCCACTTTTCCAAAGAGGTCATCTTTAAACGGATCATCTATCAAACAAATGTCACATTTTCAAAGCTGCGGCATCAGAAGATAATAAACGACACATGCCATAGATCTGATGGGGCTCACGTTCTGTAAATGGATCTGCGTGGAAGAAGTCCATCTCGGGCAGAGATGGCTGGCTGGTTTGGGCCGGCGCAGCGCGTGGAGGAAGCGCTTGAGCTGGTAATAAAGATGGAATGACTTCTGACGAGGCTGCAGCTTCCTGTTTGACCTCTGGGTCTGGTGATGACACCTGCTGAAAAGTGTTGGCTTTGAGTCACTTTGGACAAATTCACGATTCACAACTTCAAAATCGTGATAACCAAAATGGTCCAGCATCACACTTCGTTCCCTTCCTGTTGTCTTTCGTTCCTAGATAACTTTAATGAAGCAAGGGCGCCCTCTGCTGGCGAAAATACATTTAGCCTCAACTGCTTTCAAGCGCTCTCACGACTTCACATGACAATACATTACAGCCGATGCTGGGATAGGATTGGAAAAAAAATCTGTGCATTAGCGGACTTGCGCATACTGAAGTGTATGCGGAGGTACACTGTATTTTGTATTTTATTAATTCACGGGTTAGTGTCATCAAATTCCACAGGTGTGATGCAATGTCAAACAATTAACACCCTATAAATCAATTCATCATCATTATTATTGAATGGGGCGGCCTGGTGTCCAGTGGTTAGCGCGTCAACCTCACAGTGCAGAGGTACCGGGTTCAATTCCAGCTCCGGCCTCCCTGAGTGGAGTTTGCATGTTCTCCCCGGGCCTGTGTGGGTTTTTTCCGGGTACTCCGGTTTCCTCCCATGTTCCAAAAACATGCATGGCAGGCTGATTGAACACTCTAAATTGTCCATAGGTGTGAGTGTGAGTGTGGATGGTTGTTTGTCTCTGTGTGCCCTGCGATTGGCTGACAACCGGTTCAGGGTGTCCCCCGCCTACTGCCTGAAGACAGCTGGAATAGGCTGCAGCACACCCCGCGACCCTTGTGACGATAAGCGGATCAGAAAATGGATGGATGGATATCAAGACACTTATCAAGGTATGGAATAAATGCTGGTATGGCTACATACTTTTATGTGTCTCTGAATCACACATATCCAGTAGCATGTTAACGTCAAACATGCTGGACACAATCTCAAATTACAGATGGACAAAAATGTAGGGAAACGATGCAGGGCAAAAATAACAACAGCAGTCAACGATTTCAGTCAGTGTTTTGGCAGCTGATTTCAGGTGAACAGCTCGTGGATCGTCGATGCACGCAGACAATGTGACATCACTAGCCCTCCGCCGCATGGTCACCATTTGCGAAACGCTGTCCATTTCTTTGGAATGGCATGTGACGGAAAAGTATCATTTCAGACAGACAGCAACGCATCCAGGCCTACTGCTTGTTTTCTATCAGTGGGTACTGATGTTGCTTTTTTAGTGCCTACCATGTCAGCCCAGGAAGAGACATCGCAGAATTTGCAAATGCTTCCTGCTTGCCATTGTTCTGAAGGGTTCAGCATGGGTCAGCATGAACCACCCCTCAGGGAACTCTTTGTTCTAGGGCCTGATCGTGCCACATGAGGGGACCAATTACAGAGCTTCACAGCAGGACGGGGTGCAAACATGTTACCCCGCTGCAGCGAGCTAATTATTACCCCCCCCACGCTGCGCCTAGCTGGTTTATCGCGGGCAGCTCCGCCAGCTCTCGCTTGATGCGCTAAATGAAATTGCTTGCATCCACGTTTCACTTCTTTTGGGTTCATATCCAGGGCACCATGCACAGTGTTTGGGAAAAGGTAATTTTGCAGCCGTCAATAGACACTGATGAACTCCTTCAATGTCGGCGGGGTTCTTTTGTATTGTCAATGCAGAGGCAATTTACAGACTGCCAACTTCTCTGATGTGGTGTCAAGAAATGATTTATGTCAATGCATCCTGAGATAGACCTGAGGGTTGACACATTTGGGTTCATTGTTGCATGATCAGGTACGTTGGGACACAACAAAAGGTTCTCGTTGAGATTTGGTCAATCATTCTAGTCTGGGAAGATTCAGGGACGACTGGGCCCAGCTGTGATGATGCCTTGTTTTGACTGTCAAGTGTTTGATGAAGTGGTGCCATTAATGAGCTGGTGCGCTTACATTTCTTAACATCTGAGCAGTAACTGCACCATCAGACATCTTTTGAAGGGTATATCTAAGTACAAAGTGCCAGCACCTCTTGATCCAAATAGATGTCCTTTCATGGTTGCCATTAGTCCATTTCCGACACATCCAGTCCATTCATCTCCTTCTCCCCACACCCCGTGGCCGGTCGGGCCCAGCTGCTAGGGGATACCAGTTCCTCTTGTGTGTGGGACCAGTCAAGTGGAAAATGGCTGCTACCCAGATAGACCATTTTAGAGAGCCGCCATCCTTTGAAGAGCCATGATGGCCTTTGACAGCCACTCTAAAATTGTCCCTAGGTGTGAGTGTGAGCACAGATGGTTGTTCATCTGTGTGTGCCCTGTGATTGGCTGGCAACCGTTTCAGGGTGTCCCCCCGCCTACTGCCCGAAGACATCTGGGATGGGCTCCAGCACCCCCCGCGACCCTTGTGAGGATTAAGCGGATCGGAAAATGAATGAATGAATATTATTGAATGAGAAGCCTTGACCTTAGGTGGGCTTGTTTTAGGTGACGCCACGGCATCATCTTGGGCTTCCGAGGACACATCAGGTGAAGGGTTATTGTGTTCCTGGAGAAGTCACAGAGGAAGGTGTGTTATGTCAACATTCAGACTGTTCAATTATCCTTATAGTTACCTACATTCACAGTTTTCTCCTGTGGCTTGGGACGCGTCGACAGAATTGTGTACTTGTCAGAGGAGGCCAAGCTAGTATAGAGGTCATCCAAAGCATCAGGCTTCAGTTTTTCCTCTTCTGGAGTCTCGGGGCGCTCTTCCTCCTTCTCCTCCTTCAATCCTTTCTCTGTTTGTTCTGAGAGTTCTTTTTGGAGGTGTGAGGGAGCAGCTGGTTCATCTTCCGTTTGCTCTTTAGGTTGGTCCTCCTGGAAGGGGTCCCTGCGGTAGAGCTCTGGCGTGGGCCCTGCCGATCCGTTGACCATGACAGGAGAGTCGTCTTCCAAAGCTCTCTTCCAGCTTAGCTGGGCTGCCATCGACCTCTCCTCCACCTGAAGGTCATTCAGTCTGTGTTGGACCTGAACAGCAGTGCGGATAGAACGTTAAAAGTGAAGCGCAGTACGGCTATAGAGCGACAATCAATACACTAGTGAAACAGGTTGGGACGTTTTAATCTGACCTGAGCAACTTGTGTGAAGGAGTCGCGCACAGACTCCTGCAGAGGTGTGAGTTGCTCCTGTGCGGCTTGCACCTTGTCCTGCAGTTTCCTGCTCTCCTCCTGCAGAGCTAGAAGCTCCTCTCGAGCCTGGACCAGGTCCTCCTCGTACTGACATATCCTTTGCTCCTGCTCCTCGTGCTCCGACTGCAGCGATGTAATCTGACGCAGAGTAAATTTGGGTCAATGATTAAAGACAAAAGATAAATCCGTCTACTTTCGTGAAGGATGACAGAAATTAGAGAATAATTACTATTGAGAGGCTCAAAGCAGAGGACACGAAAAATTAATTAATGGTTCTGAACAATTACTCAGTTTGAAAAATGTGCACAGAAATAAAATACCCCGCTCCCCTCGACCTTTGAAAAAACTGTTACTGCGGGCTAACAAATTTTAAAATATTTGTATTTTTATTATTGGGTCAGATAAAATACATTTTTTGCATTATGTTTGGTTTTTGTTGCTGGATTAACAATGGCTATTTTTAATACAACATACAGGCACATCTCAATAATATATAATAACATTCATTTTGGTAGCTCAATGAAAAAGCTGAACTTATTATACATATACATTAAATATGTGAAAATAACTGATTTGTCAAAGTGAATTCTGTTTGTTATATTAACATTTGTTGGGATGGTGAAGTTTGATACTTTAATCAGAAAATGTGTCATCAGTCATGAAATATTTCACTCTGTGTGTAGTGAAAGCTTACAGTCATTAAATGACAAACCAGCCAACAATGACTTTCACATTTTGAATAAACCTCTGAAATATAGTGAGTTTTTCAAGATATTCAAATTTCTGCAGATGTCCCTTTAATGATGATAAATTAAAGGCCAAATCGACAATCAAATAAATGTACTCCTACCTTTGATTACAATATATAATTAAAATATGCTCATAACATGTGTACGCCAACAACAAGTGCTTGTAATAATCTTTTGTAACCTGCTGGTTTTCAAGGAGGTGACAAAAGCCTTCTGCCAAACCCACCAGTTGGCTCTCTTGGCTGGTCTGCTGGCGAATGTGGGCCAGCTGCTCCTCCAGTGAGCCTTTCTGTTGGTCCAGCTCCTCCAAAGCCTCCTGGACCTTCTGACGCTGAGTCTGAAGCTGCTGCAGTGCCTCACTTTCTCTTGCCACCTCACCCTGCAGGTCCTGTGGAAATCATGGTGCTGTCATTATGGAACTAAATCGGCAACACAAATTAATATAACTTGGGAAAAGTCTTTTTTTTTTAAGCTGTTTAAGAGAACAAATGTAAAATATGGAGGACTTGTTACACATAACCAGATTTAGTGCACAGTATGTGACCATAATGCTACTAATTCTGCATTCCTCTGCTATGCTACCAGCAAAATATCAAGGCTTAAGAGAATGCAAACCGCTCATATATTGACAGTTAAACTTCAGTTGACACTTGTGACTCATCTGCAGAGCGGAAATAGCAACGGGGGCTTTCACAGAAACGTTCACAAATTTTCATGATACAAATCTATTAGAAATCAAGATGTTAACCCTTACACTGCAGCTGAACTCGTGTGTGTGTGTGTGTGTGTGTGTGCGCGCGCGTGTGTGTGTGTTTGACAGAAAAAACTAATTATACAAAGCTGAAATAGACAGTTTTACAGATTCGACATAATTTTACAGGTCTGAAATGAATTGTTGCATCGTAACTCTGTTTTATGTCCTTGAATGAGCATAAAAATGGCAACAGCTTCTCATTCATAAACCATCTGAACAAAAATAAGGTATTTTCAATCCCAGTGAAGAGAATACAAATATGGAACTGGATTTACACACCGAGTAACTCCAACTGTTTACATCATCTCAGTAACTGTTCATGTAAATATCATTATGAGGGGAATGGTTACAAAAGTCAAAAGCCCCATATGCTGAGCTAATTTTCAACTTGGCAATATTTTTATTTTTATTTTAGATCTGGCTTTGGTCTGAGCACAAAAAAACATGAATATGTGAGTTGTTTTTTTTTAATAGCAAAAGCGAGGATAGGTTCCCCCAAAATAGCGAATATGCAGGGTTTCGCATACATGTTTCCAGAAATGAGAATTTCAGTTAACATCCAAATGTAGCATCACCAGAAAGAAATGACCGTGAGCTGAAAGTTATGTGGGAGTGTGTGCAGGTATCAGGTCAATAATGACTGTGTAGAAATAGATACAGTGCAGTGAAAAAGCCAAGCAAGCAATATAAGATCCACATCAATACAAGAGTCCCTTGAGAAGACTCCCACATTTTTCACTGAAATAACAGACGGGCCCTTTAAGGCACTATCGCCCAAAATAGGGCTCCCATCTGAGGCGTGAAACATTCCGACACACCCACACACAAGGACACCGGCCCCTTCGACTCCGTTGTTGTTCACCAAACATCTGAGGTAGCTCGTGCTATTTCAGTATTTCTTATTTCAACAAAAGCAGTCACATTAAATATTGACTGTCCTGCCTAGAATAATATCCTAAAAAAGCACGTGACAAAAACAAGTATGGGATGTTCCAACAATTGCGATGTCAAAACTAAACAGTTGGTCAATAAATCGGTCTTACCTGGACCTCGTTGCTGCGCTCACTGATGGCCGCCTCTTTCTCCTTGATCTCGTCTTCCACCGTGGCTTTCTCCCTGCGGTCCCAGCAGAACACATAGGAACATTTAGCCAATGAGGACAAAGAAGGTATGATTCCAAGACTGTAACGCCATAGCCAACTCTCAGTTCGGTGTTCAGCCGCAACCCCCTGCTCTTCCTGGACAACCATGACCTTTGATTTAAATGGAAATGCGAATCGAATAAGGACAGGGCTCGGACGCCATGACGAAGCGGAGAAAGCGAGCTAGTGCTTGATCTGTCAAGTATGTGGGAGATGAGAGGTGAGAAGCAGAAGGATGGCATGAGGGAGGAGGAGCGGAAGGACCAACCTATATCCTACTCTTTCCGCCTCAAAGTCTGTAACGGAGCTTTATTAAGGCAACTCTAAGTGCATTTTATTTTAATAGCTTGTGGCAAAAGTTGGTAAATTAGGCATTATGTACTGCACAATTTCATAAGATCCAATACAAGAGCTACATTGATAATTGATTGAGAGATATTCATCCAACAATACATTTACAATCTGAACAAAGACAACCTTGCATCATCTGCACATCCATTAAACTTGCATCCGAGCATGTTTGTTTGTATATGCAGACAGGACATCACGCAACGCTGCCTCTAAATTATTTCATACTTCTGTCATCTGATTCGCCATGTCTGAAATGCTTGACTTTAGTACCGGAAAGTGAGATTAATTTTTCATAAAACAAAGTTAGGACAGTGTCGACGTTTATCCTCAGACTGGCAGCTGTTTCTGTTATTTTGATACTGAACTTAATGCAGCTTCAATCAAATGAGTATGAATATCTTGGTAAAGACATTATTATAATATATTTTTTTTATATATAGATATAGTATTTATCAGTGTCTCTCACATCAGAACAGTTTCCACCAGTAGACCTACAGTACATATCCATCCTCTTCATCTTCATCGCACTGCTGCAGGAAGTTACTTAAGTGCGTCCTCTTCTTGAGTGGAAGTAAGGGAAGGCTTCTTCCCCGCATACTCAAGAAAAGGGACGCAGCATCAAGTAATTTATTGAAATTGATCAGCTGGAAGCTACTAAGAAAAGCACACACCTCTTGCTATTAATGATTACAATATAGTTGGTCCTGCACATAGTTTCCACACGGAGGTATGGAGGCAGTGTGGTGAAGACAGACGTGGAAGTAGCAAGGTCCTTTGAATATTGTATCTTGAATTTGTAGCATTCAAGTGGTGGGGCCCAAACAGGCGGAAGCCTCTGCTTACTTCATTAGTAAGTCATTCTTGTCAGTTCAGAGTGTGTGGGTCAATTCATGGAAAACACTGCACTCTAGTGGTCAGAGCAGATCATGCAATCATAGAAACGTATTGTACTTGAGGCGCCATATTTGCATCTTGAAAAATAAACAGTATGACACGATGATTACGGAACAACTTAGTACTGAAATGTTTGAATAGCATCGCTAGCATGACTTTTACTATCATACAAATCGTACCTTTGTAGTTCGACAATTTCATTACTGAGAGAGTCCAGCTCCTTGATGGCAGAGAAGTCAGCTGCCAGGTTGGCCAAATTGTTCTGGAGCAAAGGAAGCACAGAAATGAGTTAATTGGAGGCAAGGAGCCAGCAGATGTGAACATGGATCTGAATATTACATAGCAACGAGCAAGTTACGTAACGGCACAAAAACACAAAGTGAACAACAACTACACTGATGAGGTCACTGGTGAAGAAAAGTTGCACATGATAAAAACACGAATGTATGCAGTGGTCCTGCAATGGGCATCTAACCAGATGTGGGGCTAAAAAAAAAAATAGGAACAGAAACTTCAACACTTGTACTCAATGTATATTGACTTTGGGGAACAAGCACGTAAACGGTGGAAAAAGAAAGTGAGGTGACTTATACGGAGGAATGAAATGGACAGCGTAAACTCACTCGGGGAGGCGGTTCCATCCGCATAAGAAGGGGGCAGAGTAAAAATGTGAAGTGCAGAAAGAGAGGGACAAAAAAAAAACTGTTGCAATGACAGCAAAGGAAAAACAAGCCAAAAATAAGTTTAAGCAAAGCAGGAGAAATAGTGAAGAATGTACCCTTTTAGAAAAAGTATCCAAATAGGAACATCACTGAGCAGCACAAAGAGGCACTCAGTTCTGACTCTCAGATGTTAAAAATGTTACATGTTCAGTAATTCTGTCAACAAAGGCAGATCTTTTTTTTTTTTTTTTTTGTCAAACAACTGCAAACTAAACTAGTTTGTTGACAGGTGATCACAATTTGCACCATTTTGTGGTCAAAAATGGATGGGAGGGCTTTTAATTGATTGGCGAAATCACTGTTGAAGGCCCATATTGGAATCCCGGATTCGCATAGTGACAGATTTTTTTTTCTTTTCAATTAAAAAACAAAAACAAAACAACAATAACAACAACATTTAATGGCCGTCAATCATATGCGGACTTTTGCTATTCACGGACCGACCGGGTCTCTATCCCCAAACAGCAGGGCTAAACTGTATGCTATCACATGAATGGAAACCAACGAATTGTGAAGTGAAATAGGCAAATCACACCTGTTTGATGTTAAGTCTGTCAGAGGGAGGGATCATCTCCGGGGAAAGGCTCTGCGGAGGCTCCAGACCTCTTGTCAACTTCTGATTGATCAGATGTAATGCAAGAGCGAACTGCTCTCGAGTCAGTTTTCCAATGTCGCCAATGTCACAAAGCTCCCTGAGGGAAGGACGGCGCAGGTTACACAACAGACTAATGATCAACGCCCAAGGCCACGGCAGATCACAATTGTGTTCGACGATTATAACAGGAGCCAACAGAGCAGACAGACGCAGCAGGACACAAAGTAATTAGGGAAAACCTATAAGCCCTGTATTTTTCCGGACCTCGAGAGACAACAGTGTCAGTTTTCCATCCAGAGACATTTTACTTTACTTTAAAAAAAATGACTAAAAAGGCTAAGACGAAGGGGCATGGCCTGCTCAGCTTTAACTTGATACATATGGTATGAATTGTGGGAATTGTGGGAATTGGGAATATGAATTGAGGAATTAAAATGTATTCATTCATTTAAATTATTTTGTATTAATTTATCAAAAAAAAAAAATTATCTAAAAAAAATTTTTTCACACAAAGATCTAATAAGTGATTGTATTGGATTTTGCACCATGTGAGGTTTTTAACTTCATCTACGAATGAGTTAAAATTGCGGCAATGGTCCAACATGCATTAATGTTTGGCCACCCTTGGTCTACACTAACACTTCAACTTACTTACTTAAAATATGCTTCTCTATGTTACCGGTTCTTCTTAAGAGTGGTTGCTACTATACAATTTTTAGGAGAAATCGAGTTCACAACAGGTGAGGATCCAAATTGAAAATGAGACAAGTTTTTAGTTTCTTACCAGATGCGTGCCAGGGTAGCAGAAGGCAGCCCCGTTTTGAGAAAAATATCTCTGACTTCGGCTCCAGACACCAGGCCATCCATGTCTCCGTCTGTCTTGCTGAAGAGTTCGTCATATTTGGCTTTGTCCGCCGGCGACACCACCCACTAAGCAGATGCCAAAAAGTGCATTCAACGAAAACGGCAACTCAAATGATACAAGCCAGAGTCGAACTATCTCATGCATGCTCAAACCGTAACATCATTTACCTTCACATTCCCTTTGGTCTTGCTCTTTTGAAAAACACACTGCGCTATCCAGTTTGAAATCATTTTAAAGCGCTTGACACAAAATTAAGCTGTAATCGGCAGGATGCACCGGTAGCGTACTCACAGGGGCGGCTGCTGGCGTCGGGGCAGGAGCTGGGGTGGGTTTAGGGGGGTGGGGCATGGCCTTAGAGCCAGCATGGGAGGCGCGACTGTCTTTGATGGAGGGGGGCGAGGGTAACAAGGGCATCACGGGAGGCACCGAGGGTTTTTTTCTTTTGGAGGGTGGAACCAGGGGAGGCGGGAGAGACATGGGAACAGTTTCTCCTTCCAGGGCTCTGTACACCAAATACATGGCCTGACCGGGCAGGTTGACAATAAAATGCATAAAAGATGGTGAGAATTATTGTTCCAACGTTTGAAGTTCTCACACTTGCAGTAAAATAGTCTACAGAAGTGGATTTTCACAACCTGTAAGCCATTCAAAAAAAAAATCTCATATTCAAGATAACAGAACGTAACGACTTTAAATAGCGGTACAGACAAACTATAAACAGATGATTGAAAAATGCCGCTCACAATCACGCCGTTTTAATTAGCTGCATTTCTGTTTCACAAACCCGCCAGTCTTATCTTGTGTTCCATAGCACAGCGTGCATCGAAGACTGACATCGTGGGCAGGCTCCCGAAACAGAAGTCTTGTTTCGCTGTTGTTATTTCACAATTTCTTCGACTACATTTGAAAATAGACTCGCTGAATTGCTTTACATCGTTCCGCAGTAATGACAATACAACATTAAAGTTCTCAGTGTGAGATAATTTGACGCAACCGCCACTGGACTTAAACGACGAGCCTCGAATTGGATGACTGATTATATATTGACCAGATTCACAGTAGTGTTTGCTATCCTCACTTCTTACCACAGAGAATTCATCTTTGTCCAACATGCCGTCTCTGTCGATGTCACTGAGCTCCCACACCTTCAAAACAAAAATCATAAACATCATTACAAACTTGTGTAGAATGTAAACTGAGACATTCATTTTGTCACTTCCTCAAAAATATCATGACACCCTGAAGTCATAAGAACACATCCTTTTTACTTGCTTCAGCATAGTGGTGCATTTGCTGATGTTGATGACGCGACTCATCAAATTATTCCAAGTAAATTGGAAAACTTGTTCAATTTCCAAAAGCGCATTTCCCATGTGGAATTCCTTGCTTTACAATAAATTAAAACAGCGCGGCAGGCAGCTCATACCCGGCCCAAAATGTCGACTGGCAGTTTGGAGTTGAGCAGGACAGGCTTGACTTTGTCTCCTGTTAGCATCCCTCCGACCGGACCAAGGCTGTCAAAGATGGAGTCAAACTTCAATTTCTCTTCAGGCTGAAAGAACAACAACATGGAAATTGATACATTTTACATACAAGTTGTATGTTGTGTGTAGTATACATGAAGTATAGTGGTGACATATTGCAGCCGTTTTCTTTTCTTGGTATGGAATTATAGCGAATACCTTGACGACCCAGGCGAGATCAGTGGTTAAGGCCCCTGCTAACAGCGGGCTGGCTGTGTCCTGCTGGGAACAAATACAACTGGCTTCATTCTTTCATGTACGAAGAATAATAATGACTTCAAAATTGAATGTAGGGACATGTATCGGATCAGTGATTTGTGAGGTTGACGACTTACAAATTTGGGGGGTGGAACAGCCACATTAAGGCTCTTGAGTGCCACCTCCAGGCCATTCTGAGCACAAGCCACCAAGCGCAGGGCGATGAAAAATTGCTGTGGAGATAACGTCAAATTACAGTAAACCATTTTGTAAAAAAAAAACAAAAACAAAAACATACATTCTAATGGCCCTCTACCTGTTTGTTGAGAGAACCCTTCCGTTCCGAGTCAGACAGATCCCAAATCTGTAGAGGACATTTATGATTCACCAACAACGCACGGGTATGCAAAGAGCATCATTTAACAGGTCGGTTTCAGGCTTGGCTTACCTTGCCCAGAACCACGTCTGCCAGGCCCGACCGCTTCAGGAACAGAGCTGCGTCAGCTGCTGCCACTCTCCCGCTGCCTCTGGGATCCACCTGCAGGAAGGCACGCAAAGCCAAAGATATAATCCATTATAGATAATCATAGTTGTAACATTCTGCATGTGCCAAATTGTTTTGGTCCACAAGTCACCCAAAAGCAATATTGGAAACAAATGCAGATGTAAAAAAATAAAAATAAAAAATTGAGAATGTGGGAGCCTAAGGCATTTAAAACAAGACTGACAAATAAAACCAAAGCTCCATTCTCAGTAGTAGAACAGCATCAGTAAGCAGCCTTTCATGATGGCCACAGCCCGCCCACTGTTATAGTGGGCAGAGGGCTGCATAATTATTTCATAGTCTGACTTGCTGTACAGGAAGTAAGAAGTGAAACATGATTCTATTATATGAAGCTAATGTACTTCAGCATCATGCTCCCACCAGCCACAACATTAGGTCCAGAATATGCGCACAATCGAATGAGCTCAATACTAGAGCTGTGCAAAAAATTATTCAAAGCGGTACCCTTTTATTGTGGCTGTACTACATACTGAGAGTTGCTTCCGGGTGTGATGTTTTCAGCAACTGCAATAACGTGAATGTTGTTAAATTAATACCTCCATTGTGCAGGTGTACCTGATGAAGTGTCAGTTGAGTGTATAACATTTGATAATCCGACTTCAATTGATCGATTGGAGATGGGTGATTTTTGTTTTTTATTTTGTGCTCTTCATAAAACAGGACTTTGACACTGATAATGTATGCTCATACCTGCCGATAGTATTTGTCGTAAATGGGATTTCCACTGGAGAGCTGTTGAGGAAGAACAACAAACATTTATTGCAGGACCGCATTGATGGACATCCATTTTAAAATCTCTTGCAAAAAAAAAAACCATTCCTTTAAAACGATCAGATATTTAAAGTGTAGGGTAAAAACAAAACAGGCTGAGTGTCACCCTCTTGAACGTGTTCTTTACCGCAATTGCTTCATGAATTAATTCGTAACTATTGTAGTCATCAAGGGGTCAATCCAACGAGATATTTGGATTTTTGAAGAAACCAAAGGCTCTGCTAGACTTGTTTTGTGAAGAATGAAGACATTCTCGTCAATGCATGCACTTTTAAAAGGCTACGGGTCAGGAAGCCGCGGCGGAAGACTAAGTTGGCGATGCGGCATGTCTTCCGCCGCCACTGCCCCCAGGCTAAGGGTAAGAACTTAATATACGTTAATAGATAAATTGATGTTTAAAAGGTGTAGTTTCCTTATTACCTAACAGCATAATGATTCAATGATTTGCAAGAACACAAAATAACACAACTGAGGATATATTGTAGGGAGTGAAGTCTGCTGTACAAATGTCATATCCTCCCAAAACTAGTCACTTTCCTCTTTTTCATGGCTGACCATCCACAGCTGGGGCAAAGAGGAAGTCAGCACTTCCTTCTTCATATACCCGATGTGTTGATGTTCTCTTAAGAGGAGCAGGTGCAGTGAAGAACAACACAGCGGGTTGCGTAATGAGCGCCTTACACAACTTGCCAAAATCACTCCAGTAAAGCAAAGATCTTCTGGATCTCTCAGCGGCGTTTGGTTGACCACTTAACATTTAACGTTAGCAACTCTCAATTGACAGCCGAATAACTGGGCACACACACTTCACTATGGCCAAGCCTGTTTTTTCACACAATAGTGTGCCTGGAACTAATTGTGGCTGCAAACAAGAGTCATCATTGTACGAGTTCGTCCACTTGATCCTGACTGAGCTGTCAATTATGTCGACACCTCCAGAATACTTCATAAGACATCGTCATATTGAGCTGACCAGTTTTGAAAAATAATAATTTTGTACAACGCGACCACAGTCTGAACGGACAGGTTACACAGATCCAACCTATATCTCATCAAAAATATTGCCTCCAAGAGTGCTTGGGAGGGTGACGGACAATTGTCCGTGAATCTGCAATGTTGCTTTGAGTTTATATTTGATTTGAATTTAATCCCACTTGAAACATGAACCATACAGTGAACATTTGTGGCGATAGCGGTAATTCAGCCACACAAACGGTTCATTTATTATGCGTGGCAATAAAGTGAAGTCATCTTTAGTAGACGTCTCCAAGAGATGAAGACATCGAAAAGCCTCAATTCCCCAAAATATTTCTGGCTCCTCCCGCATCGCTCCTCTGTAGATATGAGATGATGAAAAGACACGGCCCTACAAGCTGGACCAATTTTAGTTGTGTTGGGAGTGACGCGGTTTCTTCTTCTGCGCATCAGGGTCACTTTGGGATTACTATGTAATGTGAACGATTACTAACAAAAAAATAAATAAATCTGAATCGGATTTCTATTAAAAAAAATACTAATTGAGCATTACGTTTTTGAGTGATATGCTTTGGACGGCATGTAAAACTCATCTGAATCTGTGAATGAAAATATAACATATTGTACATGTATTTTCAGAGACAATTAAAAAAAAACAATAGAAGTGCTTAACTTGCATAAAAAGGGCCATAACTTTGCAACTATAGGAAAATGTGGGACACATCGTGACAAAAATTGAGAATCACCAGTCTAGTAAAACCCTTGTTTAATTCACTGCGATCAACTGGATTAACCTGCAAAAAAAAAAATGTTCCTCAATTTTAGAAAATTGCACATCAAATGAACTAAAAATTAAAGGCTAACAACCAAAATGAAGCACAGTTTTTTAATTTCCCAAACTGCATCTTTTGAAATTTAAAAAATGCATTTTACTCCATTCCAAAGTCAATCTGAATATGATTAACTGTTCAGCCCTAACTTTTAACATACTTGTTCTGTAAAGGTGATTCTGATCATTGTAGTTTGTAATACTTCTTGGGAAATATCTGATCATGCTTCTTGTTATTTTGTATTTTGTTTTAAATCAAATTACTCACTACTTACTGTGTAGTGGACACACAGTCAGTTTGTTTGCTGGCTACCCAGACGACATTACCCGAGCTGTCGCAGCAATGAACCCACTCAAGTGGTCATGCACTCAGCTCCTTTGTGTTGTTAGAGGCAACAGCGGCTCAGGTAGCACCTCGTGGTGACACCCGCAACAAGACTTTTTGACAGCTCGGGAGCTTGGTCGCCAAAGCCCACTCAAATGTCACAAGGCACCAAATCGAGGGTGGCGTTTACCCCTAATGGCAACGATAAACGACGGTGTGCTAAGAGAGGCTCGAAAGTGGAGCTCCAACAATTATCGACCCACGTTGTCGTCTTTGCACTTCCATAACGCAAGCAGAGACTTGATTGTCCAGAAAATGACAGTCCAAAACAGCCCCCAGCACTGCCACACATGTCACGTTCACGCCACTTGAAGCACCAGTCAATAAATACGCAGTGAAAACAAGGCCCTGGTGTGTCACAACGGGCAATTTCAAACACAATTAAAAAGGAAGCTTCTCAAGGTGACGCCGGTTCTCGCAAATGTCATAAAGCGGATCCAAAACACTGCATTCAAACTAGCTGGGAGCTAGCAAGCTAGCTAGCTAGCCTCGCCCTAACGCAGTCCCCGAAGAGATTAGGCACAAACTTTTCCCAGTCACAAGCAAAGCACTGTAAACTTCCCACCGAAAAAAAGACCAAAAGAATCGAAGCGGGACCGCGATTTAGTGCGCCGGAGTCCTCTGCAGGTACCGAAGGGTTTCCGAGCGGAGAAGACGGCGGACACGAAGCGCTGGCTGCCGTCACAAGTAGAGTTCGGACGAGAGTGTTACCTGGGTCAGAGTCAGAGAGGCGGCCATCGTCTTTCTGCTTCCCACTGCTGCCTTCACGCAGCGCTGCTGCCCTCTCAGGCTCGCGCACACGCGGGCCGTGCGAAAACCTGGACGTGGATTTCCAACTACGACTGGAATTGTTAGACGAGTCATCGCTCTTTCGGGTTTTGACTTTTTGTTGCTTTGACTCATACTTCCATACTAAAATTCACCAGCATTATGTCAATTCAAAGTAGACAATGTAAATGTAGGATTTCGAGTGCTCCTTGAAAGTTTATCCTTTAAAAATGCCAGTATTGTATATCTTATTTGGTTAAACTTAGGTGTGTAGACTTTACATCCACTGTCGGTGAGACCTGCAGTTGACTGCGAACATTCCGGTCAGCTGTTCAATTTTCTCCAGGTCCAACTCATTTCCTTTGTTTTTCCCATGGGATTTCCAGAATATTTGCAAAGGTATAAATGAGTTTCAATAAGCAAAAAATATATATGAGGACTCAAGGTCATTTCCTGTGGTTGTTTTTATTGGACAGAACATATTTTTTCATTTGGACTCAAACGACAAATCCCCTCACTTAAATTACCAGCAGTATTAGTACAAAATGTCTTTTACAAAAGGATCAGCGCTCGGCTGCAGTGTGCATCCGGGATGAGGAGAGTTGACTGCATACACCAAACAATGACTAAACCTAACATGAACAGAAGCTTTCCTGATGCTGGAGTGCTTCAGAAAACTATTCAGAAACTAGTCTTATGTGCACAAATGTGGAAATGTGGTCATAACTGTACAGTGCAAACGTATGCAAGGGATTTCCTCACAAGATTAACATCCCAACTGGAACTACATCAGACTTTTAAGGTCGTATCTTCCCTTATTTGATGCGATGAACCTTTGAGCAAGCGCTTGAAATTTGGGATTGACAAAAACAATTAAAATAAAGACAGCATCACGAGACAAACAAAACACATGAGGTAACACAAACTTTTTTTTTTTTTACAAAAACTAGATTTGTCATGTGTCACCAACAACCCAGATTTTGGCAAAATCAGTCTAGTCCTTAACATACACATTTGTTTTGTATAAACTGCAAATAAAAATTTTAAAAAATTAAAATGTGGTTTTCTAGTCTGGACATTCACTGCGACATCTTCATTTCTAATCATGTTTCTATTATAATCATCACAGTTTATAATTGTCATTGTTATTATGGTATAGTAATAATAATGATAGTTTTAACCCTCTCGGTCTTTGTAAACAAAACAAAACTCCTCCCACTGGGTGAGTCGTCTCCTGTGGTTTGACAGTCTGCTCTTGAAGCTGCTCCTTGCTTTTCAACTCTTTACAACTCATCCTTCATGGGGGACTCAGTATCGTCTTCTTCCTCCTCCTCCTCCTCTTCTTCATTTTCTTCCTCGCCATCTTCCTCCTCCTCATCATCATCTTTTTCTTCCTCTTCGTCATCATCCTTTGCCTCATCTCTCCTTTGCTTGTCCTCTTCCTCGCGCAGCTTTCGCTCCTCCTCGTCTTGACTATCCTTCATCTTCTTTTCGGCCTCCTGGTTGGGAATGTAAAATAAATAAATACTATTGGGGGCGGAAAGGGGGAGGGAGCAGGGACGATAAAGGGCAAACATTTTTTAGATACCTTGGTTTTGCCCCATGTGTCATCACCAACATCCTCAGCGAGTTTTGGGTCATTGGTGATCAGGAAATTGTCAAAGATGGTGCCGGACTTGACCTACAACATACAAACGCAATGTTAATGATTACCGATATTATTCAAAGCAGTAAGCATCACCATCATCACTTTAAAAAATTGTAATCAAGATTTTAGTGTTTTATTCTAACATTTATACACATCATGATTTCTCCTTATCCCTATTTGTGCAAGAATAAAGAAGCTTGTACAGGTGAGAATTTGTTCAGTTTCTAAATGTTCGTATCAGATGTAATAAACTTACAATTAATAATAATAAAAAAAAAGGATTGGTCATTCTTTTCATCTGGCATGGGTTTTTGTTTTAATTTTTTTTTTTATTGCATACTAAAATAATTTTCAGACACCTCGGCTGCAGTTTACATTCTCAACTTTTTAGAGTTATTATTGAGCCAACTGGTTGCTGAGAGAACCAACCAAACAAATGATGTAGGCATCTACACAAAAATATTGCACCTTTCTATTAAAAAAATATGAATATTGTTTACCAATTCAATACTTATCGGTAGTGACTAAGAGTGTAATTCATATTTACTAATTGTTTATACATTTCATTCGCCTCCTAGCATGACTCCCCATGTCCTTTTTAATTTTGTCAAAACATTGACGTGCCTGACGATAAACTTAAGTGATTTGTTTCAATGATGTATCATACTTAATTTTTTCCCCAATAAAAGTTCACGTCTTTGCCACAAAATAAAAACTACATATTTTTTAAAAAGTCAGATTTCAAATGAAATTGTCAAGTGTCATAGTCGACAGCTATGCATGGTGCATTACCTGCCACAGGTCCAGTCCAATCACGCCAATGCTGTCGTATTTGTAGATCTCAGAATCGGCGGTGTACTCCGGGTTGTCGATTTCGGGATGGATCCACTTTCCCTTGTAGGCGGGGTTGCTGATCTCTTTGGGCTTCCACTCACCCTGTTTAAAACAGCACACGCTGTTTAATTCACCACACAAAAAACAATTTTCTCCTCTTGCTGCATTGGCACTTGGAGGGCTGCAGCTATCGATTATTTTAAAAATTGTTATTCTACCGATTACCCTAAAGATGTATTTGGCATGATCAAACAAAGCGTGCCTGTGAGGCAGAGGTACCCTTGTTGCCCACTTGGATTTACCATCCTCATGCTCCTTACGATCACATTTGGGACTTTTAGTGGGTGTGGCTTTAAAAGGCAGTGCCTGAGCTGGTGAGCGATGTGGGAGTCAGTGAATGATCGTTTCAGCCCTAATAACAGCTGCGATTCATGTACCTTATATTCAGGGTTAGTAATCATAGGGGGCTCCCACTCTCCATCCATCTCATCGTCCCAGTCATCCGGCTTCTTGGCATCGGGGTCGGGAATGTTCTCGGCCTTGTCCCAGTCCTGTCAAATAGATTCTGACATCAGTTAAATTCATCCCGGAGCTCATCCAAGTGGCAAGCCTGCACTTGCCTCTGGCTTGGTATCGTCAGGGTCAGGAATCTTCTCCCGGTCGTCCCAGTCCTCTGGTTTCTTGGCTTCGGGGTCCTTAATCTTCTTTGGGGGCAGGAAGTCCCAGTCATCTTCCAAAGTGCCGGACTCCACCTTTTTGTTGTCGATCTTCACCTCGTACGTGTTGTCGGGGTTGACAATCAGGGTGTACAAGTGGGTAAACTCGTCATCCTGAAGGGCAGAAAAAGATCAATGTGAGATAAAGTATACAATGGCATTGAAGGGAACATGGAGCCACTAATAGACAACTACAACAAATGGACCTTTCTCTTCAATTCATCGCTTTTCTAAAGCCCTCGGCCTCATTGGGATCGTGGGTGAGCCAATCTCAGCGGACCGTGGGCAGGGTCCACCCTGGACTGGTCGCAAGCTCATCAAGGCAGAGTGAAATAAACAACCAGTAGGGGGCCCTCAAGAGTAATGAACAGGCAACCAAACCTGTGGTAGTCATTTTTATTTCATCTTTTAGAACAGTGTTAAGGAACAACATATGGTCAATGTTTGGATGGAGGTAGTTGATTTACTTTTTTAAACTTAAGCATTTGTACATTGGCTTTAAGTCCTAATTATTCCAATTCATAAGCTTTTTTTTTATGCCATTTCTATCCCCTTGTTTCAGGCACCTTTGATGAGCTACAGCATTAAGTATTTAAGTGGTCGGTTAACATTTTATTTAAATGCTCAATTTTGGGCATCTTATTTTTAATAATCAATAATTGTACATTTTCTTGTGTGGCAGGTTCTTTGTGGCACGTTTTTTTAGGCTTAGATGATATTCACTATCCCACTTAGAATTTTATCACCTGAAATGATGTTGGAGATAGTCCGTGTGTGTGTGTGTGTGTGTGTGTGTGTGCGCGTGCATGTTTTACACATTTCTTACTTTTACATGAGATGTCTGTCCTAGGTTATTACAGTTAAAGAAAAGCAAACACGATAACGAAAGCTAAAAGTGAAAAAACATTTTCATAAAATAAAAATGAGTTTTGCTTTGGATCATGAACAAACAAATCAGTGCTAAAGGTTACAGCTGAAATCAATCATGAGTATCTTAAAAGTATTCTATTATAAACATCTATTATATATGTATATACAAAAGGTATTATAAAAGCAAGTGCCTTGGAGTGGCGTGGAATACTTCAAGAGTCGCCGATCTCAAAGTCCACTTGAGAAGTTTGCATTTTGGCAGCAAGGGAAGGAACACATGCAAATAAAGCCTTGAATTTGAGTTTGTTGACAATAATGGAAACAAGAACATTTCAAGTCCATACTACAGCGGAATTTAGAACTTCAACACTATACAATGTAGATCTAATCATCAGTTTTAGACATATTGATGCAATTGTAATAGTTTTACAAATGAAATGTGTTGCAGATGTTTGTAGTTGCTAATTTCGCAAGAATTAGAGAAAGACCAAAGTGTTACACAACCAGTCGATGACTCACCTTGCATCGGATGTCTTTGTTAACCAAATGGTTCTTGCCCTTGTAGTTGAAGATGACGTGAACTTTCTTTGTGCCGGGTCCGCAAATATCAGGACCTACACACAGAAGTCTGAAATTCAACGCACTCATCTGTGAGGCACCCAACCTCAGGAAGACCCTGATGAACCCATCGTACCAAACATGAGATTGTAGACCGAGTCCCCGTGCATGTCCTCCTGCTTGAGGTCTGAAGGAAACACTTTGACGTAGCCGCCGCCGCAGTCGATGCTCTGCTCGTGCTTGACGGTGAACTGGACGACGAGGGGCTGGCCTTTGTTGCTGAAGTCGTCGAAGCGGGACGATAGCGCGTAGAAGCGGGCGTCCTGGCTTGTCTGCAAACCTGTTTTCATCAGATCGTGTCAAACGGCCTTGCATATTGTATGCTAAGTCGTTTTTGGAAAACAAGACAAATCACTAAACAAGAGTGGATGACTGAGAATCTACATAGAAAAAGAAGTAAGAGTTCTCAGCAAGCACTTTTTTTTTTTAATGTACTGTGACATTGTTTGGCTCATTTGTTAAGTAGTCATACCTGTATCGGACTGAAAAAAAATAGTATCGAACATCCATTCATCACCCAAGCCCTAAATTGACATGAGCAATCCACTCACCTTTGTCCTTCTCTGCATCCCCATAGAATTTGCCTGCTGTCAGGACAAACTTGCCATAGTCTGTTTTATGCTTGGACTCCTCCCAGCGACTCTTCCAGGCATCTACACCCACACACACAGTTCACATTTTTTTGAGATGGGACACATTCTGTCAAGACCTCCAGTCAGTTGTATTTAACTGAAAGTAAAATTGCATTTAATTGTTGGATTTTTTTAAAACTATTCAGGTACAGTTCAATTTCATGCCACTTTTATGTGCAATACATTTAAATCAATTCATTTTGTTTAGTATATATTTTTTTCATATATTCAGGGGAAGCGTTACTGTTCTGAGCATACTGTCACAGTGGCTTACAACAATCCTAATACGTATACTAAACACTTAATAGACAGTCAATGCATTTAAATGTTGTCCATGATGCTGGTACTTGGGAGAGGTATGTGTATGTATATAGATATAGATTTATTTTAAGGTTGGGGGGTGGCACAGCCAATGACCAGGGTAGGGAAGTAAAGGAGGGGGAGGGGAAACGCACTGTGATTTGACCATACGTGGGGGGAGGGTGGTTGTCAAATAAATTTGTGTCTTGACACACACAAAACGTATGCAAAATTAAGCAAAACAGGACGATTCTTTTAGAATATGAGGCCAAAAAAGTCACAAAATTAAAACTATACAAAATTAGCGTATGGTAGGCTAATGGAGGTCCCATATGGCCATGCACTGATAAAACCTTATGAACACACTATGGTCAACTTGCATACAACGAAGACGAATAGCACATAATTAATAGATCAATGCAGTTAGATTTATCGGAAAATCAGCTCACCCCCGTCTTCAAATTGCTCTCGGAAATAGACAGTGGACTCGGCCAGGACATAGGCGGCCGACATGGCCAAAAATAGCAGCGACAAGGCAGTCATCGTGAGGAGAACCACTCCGTCAAACGAACTCTAAAACTAACACGAATTATTGATATCAAATTTTTGCTCTTGTTCGATGCCGTTCGGCAGTGCCCAAGAGTCCGTCGGTGCCGCGCCGTTTCACTGGAATCAAGTAGGATCTCGCCTCTCGGCTGGAAACAGATGTCTCAATCTGATTGGCTGTCGGCGCCGGAGCTTGGCCAGGAAGTCAGAGTCCTCTCGGCCAATCAAAACAGTGAATACGCTGATGAGTAAAGTTTAGCCAATGGACGAAGACCACGCGTTCGCTTGATACACACCCAAAGGAAGAGTGATGCGTTTGTGATACATTCATGGCGAAGAGTGATGCGTTTGATGCTCACCATTAAGTCACAATTAGAATACTGTATCAACGTTAAATGACGACGAAATCGTCATTACTGTTCTGTTTATCAAGTGTTTCTTATGTCACTGAATCTGGCCCCACACGAAATACAGGGTGCGTTCTCTAAAGTGTTTCAAAGTAAAATGACCTCAGTACTTTGTTGGATCTCATTCAGTATCATTTGTCGCCTAAATTGCTTTGATATTGGCCTTCAGATCATCTGTTTTCTGTCCCTCTACCTTTCTCTTGATAACACCTCAAACATTTTCAGTGGGGTTGACTGACTTTCATGGCTATTAAAGCAGATATTGGTAGTTTTGTAGGCAGGTGCCAAATCACAAAAAACAAAATCAGTCTCTAAAAGGGTTGACGTTGATTGACATCTAAAATTTCCTGGGAAATACCTTTGTCAACGGTAGACTTGATTGAAGACATAGATATTTAGTATTTCAATTTTTTTGAGCATCCACTTGTAAGTGCATTCATATTTACTAACACTATATTGCATAATAAACCTACTCGGTGTAAAAGTTAACACACCTCCCAGGATCTCAAAATCTCAAGTGTGTAAGTGACCACAATTCTCACATTTAATTATGAGGACAAAGCACTGAGCATTTATTATTTCTTCATTTGGGTTTGGGGCATAACAGAAACAATGGGAGGTTTTCTTTTCATATTCATACCGAGATGTGAAATTTAAACATTCCAATAGCAAAATCACATGACAATAAAACCTATGACCTAAAGTTGACATATTCAGCACTTATAAATACATCAAAACAAAACACATGGTAGAATTTCTCTTACCTTAGTAATTAAAAAGTACTTTTAAGTAATCATGAAAACATATTTTGATACAATGTATTACAGTACATGAATTGCTTTTCAATATTACACTTCATATTGCCCTTTAACATTACCAACCACAATACGTACGACACATAAGTTGACAAAGAAAGTCAAACATACAGTAGTAACGCTTTAAACCTGACCGCATAAAGATAACAGAATGCAATATAAAGATAAGTGGAGGGTGGTTAAACATTGTACTGTGCAAAAAACTCTCATTGAATACTAGTGACTCAAACGAAAATAAATCAACATACCCAGACTCCCACCGAGCTGAAATTGGTTTTGTGAAGCTATTTTCTGATACAATGTCACAACGAGGAAAGTGGAAAAAGAGCATTAAAAAAAGTGTCCCCATACTTTTTCCACAGTCTGTACAGTAGGGGAAATAATTACTTGATCCCTTACAAAGAAAATAATCTCCTGTGTTAAGCATCACCTATATTCATTGTGCCAAATTAATCCGAGCAGGTAGTGTGTATTGTTACTGTAAAAAAATAAATAAAAATTGAATTACCTTTCAGAGTTTACCCCTTCAACATTTGCTTTAGCGCAGTTAAGGAGTTTCATCAATTTTTACCGGTCTTTCTTTATACAAGTCTAATGGTGCTCCAATGTAAATTTCAAGCTTGGGGAAAAAAAAAAAACGGCTTTACTGATGCACAACCACCAGTAGATGGTAGCGATTGCCATTTTAGATGAGATCAACCAAGTTTCAGTCAAGAGATGGAAATGGTTGCATTGTTAAACCTTTCTTCATTCTGCTGTTTACAAAAGAACAAAAATAAGGCGGATTCAAAATGGGGATTTTTTTCACGGTGAAAGGAGTGTCAATTATTTCATTTGGTAGATTCAGTGTGCATATAATAATTGTACGCAACATCATGTGGGTCTTCAAAAACTGGTGACTGGTTACTTGCCTTTCCATTCAATTGCAACATGACAACTTTTACCGCCTTCTATGTGAATAGACTTTTTTTTTCTTCGTAAGCAAACCTTTGATAATGATTTCCCCCACTGTTGTCAACCGTGTGGTGTTCGTGTCAAGCGAGCATCTGTAACAAAGAGCCGCGCACTCCTTCACTCCCGCACGACTGATGCGACGGCCCTTTGTTCATCCCGCTCATACAGGAAGTGCTCTAGGTAACCGTGCACGAGGAACCTGTAATTGCGTGTTTCGCACCCGTAAGGGTGCGCACTGCACATCTACTCCAGACGTGTCTCTCTCTTTCTCTCATTTCTTCTAAGGAAGAAAGAAGTTGATCCGCTGAGGGATGGACTTGCATCCCTGGGCCGAGAACAGTCTCTCCTCCTTGGGAATGTAGAGCATGGCCTTGGCCACCTCATCCAGCGTGGCCTCGTCGGTCTCCAGGCCTCGCGCGGCGAAGGCGTCTTTCGCGCACAGCTTGATGTGACGGTACTCCAGTGGTAGGAACGGCACGAAGAAGTCGATCAGGTGACCGGACATCAGCTCGCTCTTGGAAAAACCGCCTGGAAGCAGAAAGGAATAAAGTCCATAAAATTAATTCAACAACAACAACAAAAAAAGCTGCAAGCATAGCGAATTGTCAAATGATGACATTTTTTACGCCTTGGGAAATTATCCGATTCCCCTTTGTGGTTCAAACGGTATGCCTTGCTCAAGAAAGGTTAGGAAACACTGTTGACTGAGGCCAATTTCGTTACTGAACACAGATGACAAAATGAGCTTTATATAGTAAAAAGTCTCTGAGCAGCAGGACTTCTACATACCTTGAGCTTCCATTGTTTCAGTTCGTAGTCGGTGTTCCAAATCCTCCATCCCGATGTCTTCTCGGTTTTGACCAGAGTGCCAAAAGTCCAATGCGACATCGTTGATCGCAGCTCCTCCGATATTACTACACATACACGGGCGAAAGCTTGGGTTAGCATTTCGAGATTCATTCCAGTCTTGACATCGGACAAAGGAAAAAAAAATCTTTTGTCTTATGTTATTGATATTGTGACAGGAAGTTAAAAATGCCTTGCGCAATTACGGCTACCAAGATGCTACTTAATACATTGCGTGTACACTTAATTAAGACTTTATGAACAGATTATATTTCTGTTCATCACTTCCAATGTGAAAAACGTTTCTATTGGGTTCATCTTAAGCGATAAATATGTCCATCAAGGAGTCATGTTGGTTGATTTGCAGTGTTAATAACATGAAGAAATAGAAATATTTTCATAATATAACTCAATTTTGTGCAGATTTGGATGACATATTAATTAACCCCAAATCATCTAAATTAATGCAATACTGTACACATTACAGGATTCAATACAATATGCCAAGCTTTGCCCATTGCTGCTCTACGGAATGCCATTCTTGAAACGCTGAACCTGGAGGGCAATCCAACCTGAGGAAAAGGAAGATGGCCTTTCGGTAGTTGACCCCGTCCACGTTGTCATAGTGGGCCATGTATGGTTTGATGGCGTCGATGAGGCCCGGGTGCAGTTTCTCGGCCTCATCGAAGATGAACAGAGTCTGGGAACATCGGAGGACGGTGTCCCGGATGGCGTCTCTCAGCTGACCCTAGAAAGTAGGGGTTGAATGACTTTTGGGAGTACTTTGATCAACAATTTTTTTTCCCAGGTATCAAGTTCACTGTTCCACGTGATGGTTGAAGTCAGTCAAAGCTTCAATTTGATCAAAAACTACAGAATCTGAAACTCAGAATGATCTTTATGAGTGAGAGTTCAATAAAAATGCTCATCTGAATTTGGACTTTCCACTTCTCCTGTGTAGTAATAGTGACCCAGTATCATTCTGAAATGTAACACAGAGATTGTGTAACATTTGTGCACACTGGACGCCAATCACGGCAGTTGTGGCCCAGCTGGGCTGAAGCCAGCCCCCCCCCCATAAAAAAACAAAACAGTGTTTGATTTTGATGATTCCCGTTCATAGTGTTGTCATTGAACTTAGATAAAAGCTCGAACTGGCCCAATATGTTCTTGGCGGCGAGCCCTCACCTCTTGCGTCTCACCTTGTACGTGTCCACCATCCTGGCGTGGTGAAAGTGAAACGGGGCGATGAACAGACGGACACACTCGCTCTTCACCCCGTCACGATAAAGATTATCAGCAACCATCCGGGCCACAAAGTTCTTCCCAGTGCCCGACCAGCCATGGAAGGAGAGCGTGAGGGGCTTGTTGGACTCCGGGTGGTTGATGAAGCCCTGGATTGCTTTCAGAACCACAGGCTGGGCCAGGTGCTGCCCATGCAACTTGTTCTGGAGATCGTGAGCCAAACCTACAAAAAGGGACATGACTTAATTTGAACTCCTTCATCTGGTCCTTAATTCATCGTTAAAAACGAAAATAAGGACTCAACTCCTGAACATAGAAACATGTGCACAACCTGACTTAATATTCTCCATTTGAATAAACTATTGAAAATTTGAGATGTGTTAAATGCATTTCAAGTATGGAATTCTTAAATATATCAAATATCCCTAAACAAAATATATATATACTTACAAATATCTTAGGTTAAATATATTTAAATAATTTGTACAGTGAAAACAAGGTCTCAACACGCTTAATCAATTTTAAAAATTACCAATTTGACAATCCGTTGTTTAATCGTTGCACCACTCGACTGCACCGAACTGTGTCAAGGCCAAGTCACAAACACCAAAATGCCTCGTCATGAATGAACGGTGAGAATGTTTCTTTACATTTTACTTCATGCTATTATGGTGTGTTAAAGTAAAAACAGCGTGGCATTTCCCATATCCTACTTGAACGTTTTTTGGGGGGTGCCGAAAGATTTGCAACACCATAGAACAATTTACGGTCATTGAGCTTGTCATCTTTTACCGGCGGACGTTTCGCCGCTAAAAACTGTCGTAAACCGAGGATCTCAGGATCATAAATGGTGCTTGAAAGGAAAAAAATATATTGCATCTGGCCACTAACAATGACACCTTTAAATCAAGGAGTTTGACAATTGTAATGCACTACCAGTGATGTTGTTGGTCACCCTGCAGTCTCCAGACTCGCAGCACTGACCCAGGTTGCAGTACCAGCGGTATAGCAGTTCCGTGTAATCCTGGGGGAAACCGGCCCAAAAGTCCCTGGTAGGAACTGCCCATGCAAAATGTCAAGTCATTACGGAACAAAAACCATGGTCGTTGTCTGCTTCCCGTCCTACCTTGCTGCGTCGCATCATCCTGGTGAGGCTGACACTCGCCCTCCCAAATGTTGCAGTAAATGTAGTTAAAATAGTACAAGGACGTGTTGGACAGCGTATCCAGCTGGAAGAAGTGAGCGTGTGCGGGAGCGGCCAGCACAAGAAGCGGCAGGAGAGGCACAAAGCGGGCAAACATGAGTGAAGAGGTCGGTCAAGCGCCGCTACTAGATTGCCTCCAACGAGAATGTAGCTCCGCTAGCTCGCTGCTCGGCTACTTCTACCGCACAGTGCTCGATTTACACACCGGAAGTAGCCGCCACGAAGAAGCCCCGCCTGCCTGCAACTATTTTTTACGTCAATACAAGCTACGCTTTCCAATAAAGCACAGCACAACTGACGTCATACGGCGACACGACCGCTTGGTACTTCACTTTTTTACCTGGCAGACATTTGTGGGCATCCTTCCTGACGTCAAGTGAAAAGATGCACGAATATTTGTTGAATTAAATCAAAATATTTCCAATTCGGACTCAATATGAAAAATAAACAAGACAAAACTCAATGTGAACGTCTTTTAATATAACGTCAAACCACAAGGTAAACATCACAAGAGAAATTAGAAAAAGTCTGGAGCCTTAGGTGACTTAAAAAAGTCTTGTGCTTTCAACATTTGAGTTTAACTTGCCACATGGTCCAAGCAATAGGAGGTGCAACCTCTATTATATCTCAAACAACAAAACATGTAAATTCATTTACAATATAAAACTGAACTTCAGTAGAAGCCATCACATACAAAAATGAAATTGCATAAAGATTCTAGTACGTTTGTTGCTTTTGCCAAGGTATCCTTGAGCACCGCCTCATCTCGAATGAGTTCAAGTGTCCCCTTACGGCCCCATCATTAATGAAAGCCACTTGTGGTCCTCCCCATGTCTATGAAGTGATGAAGATGCACACTTCCTCCTTAATTCCTACAGGAATAAATAAAACCATGAATCATCACTTTGCATAACATTTAAAAAAAACAAAGCAGTTTACTGGCCACAAGGTCAGAAAATATGGAACGGTATTGGATATAATCAGAGTTCATTTGGCAGAATCTCTTCATCATGTGTAGGGCCTGTTTGTTTTCGTGACGAGAACTGAAAAGAAACTTACTGAGCTCAGTCAGCCAACTTCCAGTTATGCTGTAGACGGGAGAGAGAAATGCTTATTACACGTGAGGAGTAGTTTTGCTTAGTGTACAAAAGCCGGGCCACTCAGCAACGGATATCCACATTTTATTTCAGGTCAGACATTTGTTGGGACATCATTGAAACCCTCTCCACTGGGTATTTTTTTATAAACAATTTGTTACTTCCTCACCTTCAATTCATCCATTTGATGGTGGGATCTACATGCAAGGTAGGCTCAGCTCCTGTCTGTGGGCAGAGAAGAGGATTCAGTCAAAACACATCCAAGCGTTTCCAAAGATGTTAGCAAGCTGACCTTTCAGCTAGAGCTAATGACTCCACGATTTAAATGTCAGCAGCATTTTTATCATCACAGGTCAGCTGATGAGAAATTAGTCCAAATTTTGACTTACCTGAAGTGATGACTTTTGCAGAATGCAGTCAAACTCTTTCCTCAGCAATCTGCATCAGAAGATTGAATTAGAACCTTCTTTTTCTTCAAAAAGAAAATTTACCGTGAAACTCAATCAGGGTCAGAAATGTGTTAAGTTTCCTCAACTGGATCAGAGACCTGATTCACATTCATCATGCCCAACAGGTTACGGCCCCATTCACAACCACCATTGCTCTTAGGTAACCAAAATCGCGTTTTTACTTCAACACAAAAAGAGTAATGTCATTAGCATTTTTTTTTCTTCCTTCTTCCCGCAATCTTGCTGCTGTAGACTGTAAATTTCCCCAGTGTTGAACAAATAAAGGATATCTTAATATTAACATTTTACCATTCTGAAACTGGTGTGAACATAGACATCCATTAGGAGTCATAATTTCTGCTCATCTTTAATGATAAAGTCAAGTGAAATTTTATTCCGAAAAAAAAAGTTCTATAAAACTCCACTATTCTAAAATGCGTCGATTACTCAAGATCTGTGCAATGTCATGTTTGAATGGGGCCTTTTAGTACACTTTTAACATACCATGCAAGTGAATGCTCCATTCTTTCAGCATAGCTTCATGAAGCCTGGATGAGAGAAAAGGGAACAAATTTAACAGTGCCCCTTACAATTTTATGTGAACAATGTATTCAAGCCACACATCAGATAGGAGCGAAAAGTAGTCATCACTAATTATCCGCTGAACTATGAAGTCATCATTGTGCTAAATCTAGTAGATAAAATATTCAAGTCAACGTACCGTGCAGTCTGTCTTTTAACCTATAAGGGAAAATTAAAAAATTAGAATCACATCTTGCGTTTGTGCCTGAGATGTTGCGTAGGCCAACATGTCAGATAGGGGCGAATAGTTATCTTCACAGAGTATCTGTTGAACTATGAACTCATCATTTTAGTCAGCCATTTTAAAGGTCATTAAAAAAATACTAAAATCTTACCTGAATATAAGCCAGGACAACACCTGCAATCAAATGACAAGACTAAGCACCAGGTAGCAGATGGCAGGGAAAGCAGCTAACTAAAACACCGCATCAGACAAAATGTCATCTTTCACTATTTTTCAGAGAGATTCCCATTATGTGTTTCAAAGTCATCATCTACAGCTGGCTTTCCAGAAGAAAAACAAGAATTCTAATCAAGTTTTACCTCTGATGTCAGTCAGGTGAATCACACCCCAAGTGGAGCTGTACAGGACGAGAAAGGGGAAAAAAAGTTGAGTACATAATCCCTTTTCATACTTTCTTTAAAGCAATCGTTTGGCAGTGCCTCAGATGTCAACTTGGTGGGTTGGCTTTATCGTCATCCATCTTGTCAAGAGTAGCAAATAAATGTCATCACGGCAACAAAAGGAAACTCTTCTCTGCGGCATAGCTAATGTGCATCTGAAGCAGGGGTGGGCAAAGTAAGACTGGGGTCCACATGCAGCCTTATACTTTTCCTTAATTTCACCCACGGAGCATTTACATTCATTAGCTGCTGCACTTATGAATTTTCTCTCAAATCTGTTAAAAATCTACTGCCAACAAAATCTAAGTGTTCAATCCCCTGCAAGTAAAAATGTAGGATGAATATGAAATATAGGATGAGCACACTGATGCCTCTCGTCTTACATGGGGTAGAGAAAAAGCGGGCTATATTATCTTTAATCATAAAAGAGAAAATATGAAATCAAATGGTATAAATACACAAGGCTAATTTTCACACCGGCATCACAAATTCAGTTTAAAAACTCAATTGCAGTCATCGAGTCAAACATTTGCCCACTCCTAATATAAAGTACAGAGGACCCCACTACTCGCAGGATATATGGACTGGGTTGGCTTGTGAGTGATGAAAATTTGCATATAAATGATGTCCGTTGAAACGCATTGGGGAGAAAATCCTTAAAACTGATGAACTTTAAATATGTGGTTACCACAGAAAGAAAAAGGGAGCCAATTTGATATTCCTGAGTGTGCAGGGGTCCACTGTAATTTGAGTCAGAGCCCACCTTAGAGAAGCTTAAAAAAAAGAAAAGCCAGTACTGACCATTTTTAACGACTCCGGTCTTTGATGCGGCCTCCAAAAGTCTGCAAGTAAAATAGACTTTAGCAAGGCTATCCACACCAAGGATTTTTGCCCTCTTTGTCCTTTAGTCTCAGAGAACTGTTCGTCAGAAATCACTTCTGATCACTACTCTTACATTTTAAGGTCATCACTGACTAAAAAGTCAAACTTAAGTGTTAAGGAAAAGTCACATACGCTTCAATTCAGTTGCTTGCCGCATCTTGGGAGTCGTGAAACTGTAAAAGGGGGAAAAAAAAAGCTTGTCAGATAGGAAATCGACTCAGAATAGACGTTAGCTTTAGCAAACAGGCTAACGTGTAGCTTCACTCGCGGATGCGTCCCCACGCTGTCAGGGTAGTTGGCGTTTCTTCACATCCATTCAGATGTCCCTACCAACACTTTATCATCATATAGCAATGGGACGAAGTAAAACGAAGTCATATTTACGTGAAGTCGATGGGAGTTACCAAAAAGCGGCTGTTAGCCTGTTACATTTGCCTATAGCACGTGGTGCAGGCCTTGCAAAGTGTGCCACTTTAAACCAACATCAGATACCCATTCCGCATTAAATAGTTCAACTTTAGACGAAAAGAACGAATATGATCGATTAACAATGACAAAAATGTTTACAGATCGAAAATTTGAAAGCCTTTTCGACGTTTCGTAGTAAGAGGACAATGCTTACCAAAGGGAAGCGGAGGAATGAGACCGTGCAGCGGGCGAAGGGACAATTTATACTAAAAAACATTTTCCCATCAGCCCGTGCGGCACAACGCGGGCTGATGGGAAAATGGCAGCGGTGGGATTTGGCAACTTTTGTGACTAAATTAGCAACTTTTATTTCCCCAAAAGAACCAAGCAATGAATGTACCTATTTTAATGTTGCACGTACTGATGGGAAATGGTCGGGGTGAGAAACATGACATGCCATCCAATTATTTTTTTCGGGCAATTTTCAGACTACTAGCAACATTTTAAAATTTTCATTTTTTTCTTAACACAGATAAAAAAAAACCTAGCAACAAAATCTATACTATCTGTGCTAAAATTGATGCATGATAACTACATGTGTCATTTAGGACCCACCAGTGGTGAGAATGGCTGCTTTAAACATGAAAGTACCAATGGATATATTTAGTTAATTTTTCAACATTTCCGGTCAAAAACTCGACACTTGTCTATCTATGTGTTTCATCTTTTAACAATCATTACCTTTGACTCCATCACCAAAATACCCGGTGGATTGTGAATGGCGCCAAATGCCCTTTGGCCCTGTTTAAATAGTTTCATGACTATGACGTCTTTATCGCTGCTTCAAAATAGACGTTGTCGGCAGGATTCGAACCTGCGCGGGGAGACCCCAATGGATTTCTAGTCCATCGCCTTAACCACTCGGCCACGACAACTGCTGGTCTAGGTAAAAGGATATTTTAACTCACACGATCATATATTACTAGATTTTGGCACGCTCGCTCATGCCTGATTTCCCAAAATTGCATTATTGATCATCAAGTAACTGCTTTCAAATGGTCTGCTGGAATTCACTGCTTGTTTTAGATCCGAGTGTGAAATCTGCTCATTGCAGAGGCGTATTCCAGAGCGATACAGGCCCACCACCACCCGAAAAATCCTGGGAAGTGGTCTTCATCAAACTATTTGCCTTACCGCCTTTCAACTGCACGTTTGAAAGAAGAAAAAAAACTAATCATATTTGCTTGATGTATTCTTTTTTTGCATGAGTAATAAATTAAAGGTGAGGAATGTCAGTTGCCCTTGGACCCTTCGATTTCTTCTGTCATTAAAGGCCAGGAGCAGTGATTCAAATGCAGGGCCTCTTGAATGTAACGCTGCCATGCTTGTGACATTCAAACAACTGTTATCAGCACACTGAATGAATTTGAATTTCACATGTTTGATCGGTGAAAACGTGCAAGGATGTTAGCTTCTTTGCCTTTCTGTGGCGGTTTCTAAATTCACAGGCTGCATCCGTTGAAGGCTGAATCTTCGGCTGCATGGCGTCACTTCCAGCGCGACTGCGACTCAAAATTTTTAAATTTATTGAACCAGTCCAATTTCGCCACGCTTCATGCGGTCCACGGAGGCGACATGACCCTTTGAAGGCATCGAAGGATCCAGCCTGCGAATTTTCTCCAGAATTTTGGAAACCACCTATGGTCGAGTTGTGCCGGAAGTGACGCCATACGACCGAAAACGGCGCCTTTGAAGCACGCAGCCTATGAAATTTAGACACAAGTTCACATGTAAAGGTTAAAGTCCCCCATTGGGCAACATCTCTAACTTTTGTGTGTATATGATATTCCACTTTTGAGGCTGTAATTCTTAAGTACTTTGTAGTCTGTAAATTAGGGAAACCAGTCAAAGAAACAAGACTACTACTTATGTTCTTTAGCATATCCAAGTGGAATTTATTTTTGTATCTCATCCATCGCGTTTTGATCCAATGTCGACGTCACTGTAACTAAAGGGAAAAAACATTTGAGGTGAAGAGTAGAATATCCCTCAGTGTTCCTAATTTAGGAAGAAACAAAACCCTAAATGAACTGCAGCAGCACTACAAAAAAAACAGCAGCGATGTTCTCATCTTTTTTTTGGGGTTGTTTACAATTCCCCTTCGCAAGGTAATGCATACAGAACAGAACATCGTCATTATGGACAAAGAGGTCCAGTAGAGGAACAAAAAGCCACATGATCATTTGTTCATTAAATGCCTTCAGGTTACATAGAATCATATTCATAGGACTGTTCTATGTTCTTTCGACAAACATTGCTGATAACCTTTGGATTGCATTCATATATTTCTATCAGCGTGTTCCGATGCTATGGCTTGTGTGGACTTATAACTGTGTCCTGCAATGAAGAAACGGACCAAACTAACTTGAAATGAGAGCAGAACATCAAACGTGACCATTGGATGCTTCCTTTAAAGTTTCATTATGCTCAAATATTTTACACTATTGCCAGAAAGAAAAATAAAAAAAGAATATATGCATCATATGTATATCTATATTTATATATAAACAACAGTTATAACTAGTTGCAGGCAAGCAGAGAGTATCTTCCCCGCCCAGTTAAGGTTCAACCATTCCGCGAACAACATCATCACCGCCATCATCCTCATAAGGCTGCCAGACTCTTGGAGGGGGCTTTCTTTCTTCAACCAGATTCCCTGAGATGTTAAGCTCTGTTTTATATGTGAAAAGGTTATTATTAGATTTCAACAACCCTGATGAAGGGAGTGGCCTGGCTGAGAACTGGGACCGCACCTGTTAAGGAGTCAAGCTTTACAAATCGCCTGGGTACATCTCAGGTGCTCTCCGTTGAATTTCATTCGTTCCCATCATTTTACAGTCGGATGCAAAGTTGCATACACAATGCCATCGGCGGTCAGTCAGTCCAAGGCTCGGTGAACAAGTGGTCTTTGCTAAAGAGTTCTTATGAAGACTCTGCAGTGTGCGTTCAATCATAATGCATGTAGTGCGGGGTGGGGGTGGGGTGGTCCTGGGACGGGTGGACGTGTGTTGCTCCTCTCAGGGTCGAGGAGAGGCTAGTCTCTTTAAAAGTGGCTCGTCATACACCCAGCACTCTCCGTCCTCGTGGAATAGCTGCAGACACGCAGAGAAGCAACACATTGTGGCAAATGAATCCATTGGCAAGTTCCCTTTCCCAAGAGTGAATCAAAGAAATAAATCCAAACGGCCATCGCTAAATGCAGCCCTCGTAGGTTAAAATGTCCGTCAGGCTCACCCTGGTCTCCCACTGTTGCTCGTTCTCCTTCCTCTCCCTGGCTTCCACTCTCTGTTTCTCCTCCAGCCGATGTTTAGCTTCTGTTGCAGCGTCGATGTCTTTGAGCTTCAGGTTGAGGGTCACGTCTCTCCAAAGTCTGTCGGGTGGGAGGGGGAGGAAAGTCATCATTTGTCTTTTTTTCCCCCCCCTATAAGAGTTTGGCCACATACAAGACCGCCAACAGGGTGAAATGTCCCACCTTCGAGACTCGTACGTTAGCTGATCTTCCAGTTTCCTGACTTTCTTCTTAATGATGCCCATCCTCTTAGTGTCAATGAATGATGTGTTCTCCTGCAAATATATGTAATATTCCGGGATTCATTTTTGCTTTTCTGCTTGTCATTTGAATAAGAAATATAAAGTGACAATACAATTTGCCATTGCTTCTGATATTGTGTGCGAATACCGAAACATTGAATTCCCTTTTGATGCGGAGAATATGTTCCGGACCCGCCTGCAATAGCTGAAAAGCAGCTATTTAAAGAGTCCATATTAACAGTTTAAATACCTGAACCCTCCCACACAATTTAAACACATTCTCAGAGTAAACGGTAGTAAATATCGACCAGAGAGTTACATAGATTCAAATCACATTGGATTCAAATCCATTGAGCAACGATGGCTGCTCTTAAACGTCGGAATAAGAAAACATTTTCGGCTACAGTGGACAACGGTTCCACGTTGAACAAGTCAGAAATCAAAGCTACAAAATGACAAACATTAGCCTAAGGGTGAAAACCTGTCTCTCAGCAGCGGGAAAAGAAATGTATTTTGACAAGAGTAGTCTTGTGAAAGCCTGAGGGAGAACTCACTCCTGTGGCCCACTTGGCAAACATCACTCCGTTCCATTCGCCTTCAATGGAGCAGAAAGACTTCTTATCATTTGGTGCACTGCAATAGAAGATCAACAATACAGGTGATGATGCCACCCCCAAAAAATGCCAAGGGGCTTTTGAAGTCTGGAAATGAATCAGGATTTTTCTTACAAAATCTCGGCTGTGATTCTGTGCTTCTTGCCTCCGTAGAAGGGTTTGGTGTGGAACACGATGTTGGCGCTGTAGCCTGATTTGGAGCATGAGATGTTGCACTCTCCGCCCAACTCCACCCAGGGCACGGTCAAAATGGACCTGCATAAACGGCTCAGGTCAGTCAAACGTATGTCGACGACACGCTCGCGGAGAAATGGCAAAGCACGCACCTGCCATATCCGTTGGGGAAGTTGAGGATGTAATGTTCATCGTGCTCTAAACATGACACGCAGCCTGCACGGAGAATGTCACCAATTCAGTACAAAATAAGACAACATGAATGGGGAAAGTGTATGAAAAGTCAAACGTACCTTGTCCAATATTATAAACGCCTATCGACATGCCAAGGAACTTCGACTTGGTCCAGATGTGAGCATTGAATTGGATTTTCTTACTTAAACATTCTGCGTAGAATGCAGAAACTGCAAAAAGAGGAGACAAAGCCATTTAATAATTTGGAAATTTTGTTCTGCAATTATCATAATGATCATAAGTCTGATTGCAAATTGACAAAATTACTTTACTCACAAAGGATTAATGACACCATTTTTTTTTTAACTTGAGTTGTGCAACAGACTCAGTTGTTTCCATATGGTGACTATTACCCCCCCTGACCCCCGAATTTTAGATGACGTTCTACTGTATTTGGCTATTGAAGACTACCACTCACTGGGTGGATGATGAGAGACCTGCTCTGCCACAAAAGACACATTGTTGGGTGAAGACCATGGAACCGGACCGTCTGATAGTGTGTCCTGCACAGGAGCAGGGGAAGATGACTGAAAACAGAAGACAGCACATGATATAGACTGTATAGGAGCCTCAAAGAAAGAGAGAGAGACAGAGT